AAATACGTGACCCAAGGGGCAACCAGGCTCTAAGAAGTCAAGAGGCTTTTTTATCTCAGAGCGCAGCAATGTTACCTTTGACTGTCCTTTTGGATCAGGGGCAAGAGCAGCGCAAAAAGTACAGCAGCAGAAGAGCCTGCATTTGTTCAGCCAGCTCCCAACCCTACCCTGTGGCCCAGCAGGGGAAAACCAGCCATGCTTTGCTTCCTAGGAGCACAGTGGCTGTTAGGGAGCAGGGAGTAACCCCTCCATGAGCAGGGACAAAAGTGCCCGTGTGAAGCACCAAGATCAAAGTGTACTTACAGCACGCAGAGTGCATACGCCGAAGCAATGGACTCACTGGCCCGCACAAGGAAGCTGCCATCCTTGCCTATTTTGGAGAGCAGGTCTTCGGCTCTGGAGCGAGTGATGTTGCCGTGGTACCAGCACTGATCCATGGCTGCAGCTGGAGGAAACCAGAATGCCAGTACAGGAGCTGCCAGAGCTGCCTCTGTGTCTGTGTGTAACGATCAGGCAGCTCCAGCTCACCAGCTTCCTGTTTCAGTAGTACAGAGAGGGAAAGGAAACTCGGCCGCGGAGAACTTCCTCAACTCAAACAGCTCAGAGAGTGAGCATGACACGTTCCTGCAGCTCCTGCTCTCTCTCCATGCTGCAACAGAAGCGACTGGTGAGCCCACATTCCCTGCCTTTCCTTTTATGTCTCTGTATTCTGCACCAAAACCCCACATGGGGGTCCCTCCTGCTCCCTCACTAATTCAGTCCCACGGGTGTTGGTGGTTCACCCTCCTATTTACGGTCTCTTGCCAGACCCTCTGTGTTTCCATTTTTTTCCTGTCTGTCAGTCCTACCCATGACAGGTCTCCATGGGGAACAAATAAATCCCAGACTGGCTTGCAAACAACCTGTGCATTAGAATCCTTAGCAACGACTGCCTCATTCCAGCATTGTCTGCTCCTCACATCTAGCTAGGGGTTCAGCAAGGGACTTGAAAGATCCAAATAGTAATAATAATGATAACAATAACAAATTATCTCCAAATTATCTCTGTGCACAAAAGCAAAGCAAGATTTGTTTGGAGAGTTATTGACCAAAGTTCCCTGTCAGCCACTGTGAGATAGGTTTAAAGAGTCCTTCCAACTCTAAATCGCCAAAGGTGGGACAGAGCAAAGTAATTTTTGGCAACCTGCGTCAGAGAGGAGAACTGGGACTTTCACTTCCCTTTTCTTTGTCTGTACATCTGTCTCTTGCCTAGGCTCTGTGCTGCGTGCACAGCGCTGCACCACCTCCAAGGGAAAGAAACAAGGTATGCTTGCAACAGGCAACAGTGTGGCTGCAGGAGCACTGCTTACATGGCAACTTTGGTTGCCTCTCCTCCAGCTACTCTGCCTTTGAAGGCAGTGCTTCTGCTCACTCACATTTGAGTTGTAATCCACAGCAGCAGCCAAATGGGACTGTGTGTCAGGAGAGTCCCCATGCAAAGCACACACAGCTCTGCACAGCCTTCAGCTCCCAGAGCCAGAAGTGCTGCGGACCACACACAGCATACAGGAGGGCTGCCCTCTCACACAGCAGGCAGAAGAAAGCAAAACCAGTATCTGTGGGCACTGAGCAGGAGATGGAAGCAGTACATCCCCATCTGCCTTCCTGGCACTTTCAGTTTTCCAGACATTGACTCTACAGCATCCAGCTTGATCTCAGCTGCTAGGATTAAACTGAGTGCACTGGAAATTCAGAACTGCGCAACCCTGCTAAATGGGCAGAACTGCAATATGCAGGGCTTCCTGTCCACGCTGAGCAAGCACTGTCTGCAGACCAAAATTAGCTCAGCAGGACCTGCCCTGCAGCTTCACTCAGTCCTACACAGGGTTTACAAGACAGACTCCCACAGCGCCTAAATAAAGTCTGACATTGAATTAGCTCTGAAGTAGCTAATTAGCGTTGAAGTAGCTCTGAATGGACAATAGCTGTCAAGCTGCAGTGTGGGTGCAAACCCTATTCTTCCTACTGAGAAGAGTATGTGTGTATTGCAAAGAGGCAAAGAGGTTGTGTAGCTCCTCTGATGGTCCTGCCTGGCCACAGTGTGCCGCTAGCCTCACCCATGCCGCCTCTTTGGGATGTCTGGTGCTCACAGCAGCTTCTTTGGAGCACTGTCATAGCAGGAAGCAGAATGGCTCTGAATGTCAAACAGTTGCTTGGCTTTATAGTGCTCTCCATGCAATGGATCCATATGACGGCACACGGTGGGCAGAGCTGATGTACAGAATGAGTACTGCTGGAAGGACTCTACCCTTGTAGAGCTTCTGATCTACTGTAAGTTAACACAAGGTAACAGAGAAACGTAAGTCCTGGTCAACCAGCTGAAGGACCAATCAACTGGCTTCCCATCCATCCCTCACTGACTTCAGCTTTTAGGACACTGCAGCTATTTCTTTAAAACGCGTACATCCCTGCTCAACCACGCTCAACTCACTTACTGGAGACATCAACAAGGGGATGGGATCCAAATGCACACAATGCTTATGGCTGTAAGGTGTGCAGGTTGTGTATTTCTAAAGAAAGCACAGGACAGCTGCTCAAAAAGTGCATCCTAATCCCCCAACACAAAGAGCTCTGTGATCCCTAGTGGTCAAGTGCAGCACTGCCTGAAGAGGAAATGGCATCTAACTTCCATCTCACAGTGCACTTCAAATAGCTGTACTGTCATCCCACAGTTGGGATAAAGAGCTTCCCTTGTAAAACAAAGGAATAATGGATACAGCTGTCAGGCAAATTCAACCCAGACTCAACAGCAGCTATATGCTAACTGCAGCAGCAGTATTTCACTTAAACTCACATTAGAGAATGAGACCACAGCCAAAGCACTGACACATTATGATGGCTGATCAAAAATTACACTGCTCACAGTCTACAGATGGAGCAAGCATTATTTTTTGTCATGTTGGCACATTTTTCCAAGCTTTCTTTCAGATGCTGCAATCAATACTTTATCTGACCAGTGTTTGCCACAGACGGCTGGGCAGCGTTCTATCAGCTGGCTGCAAACTCCCCAGCCTGCCCAGAGCCAGTGCATAAGTATTGTCTGTAGCAGCACTCAAGTTTTACAGTGGTCACCCCAAAATCATACCTGTATCCAGGCTGTGTAGTTCTTCAATAATGGCACTGCTGTGCTTGACCACATGAAAAATGCCCAGGAAAGGTATTTTCACATCATGAAACAAAAGGATTTCTTAGTATGCCTGACACAGGAAGCTGAATTAATAGGAGAGCTGTTAGCTTTGCTGAAGTCTAACTACAGGATTCCATCACTAGGCACCAACAGGCTCCTGGCCGCTAAAGTGGCCAGCCTACATCTAAAAACCAGATGAATAAAAGTCATTAAGTATTGGCTCACTGAACCACTGCGCGCTTTGCTGCTTCTGCAAACTGACACATTACCAACCTGCTGCTTGGGAAGGGCTCAAGAAATTGTAGGTATGTTTGGCAAGGCCACAAGATCTCTTCACTCCTTCGATATTGCAGCTTCCAGGTACACTGAAACAAACCCAGATGAATGAGAAGAACCAGGAGACCTTCTTTTCCTGTCTCTAAAAACTATAAGTAATGAACAGCAAAGGGGGATGCTGAAAAGCAGAGGCTCACATAGCTAAGCAGTGACAGTGCAAAGGACTCTGCAAGACCTGCTAGAGCTCCCCAAAGCAGATGAGAACACTGTGAAAGGGAGGTATTTTTCTGCAACAGTAGAGCAAACAAATGTTTTCCTTGGGGCTGTTCCACACATGCACACACACAAAACACAGCAATCAGCAAACAAGCTCAGGCTGGTTTGGAAATAATTTTTCCAGAGGCACGAGCAAAGCTGCCCTGGCTCTACGCACTGCCCTTCGGCGCTATTCACCTCTGGTCACTTGTCTGCTCACAGCGTGTTGCCTCCTTCCAAACCTCAGTATAGCCTCAGAATAGTCTCCCTCTTAAAAATTTGGGCTGTTCCCTTCTAAAAACTGCTGAAGATCTGTCTACTCTTGAAAGCCTTCCAGCTCAAGCACTCCCATGCTCCTCTGACATTTACATCTCTGCCGTTTTCTGGAAGCGAGGCAATGTTATTTTTTTCACACACTGTCCCATTGCTGGTAATACTCTATAATAACAGTCTCTATAATAACAGTCATGCTTGCAAGACATTGGTTTGTCAGAGATAACAGCAGTTACCGCATGGATCAAAGCTTAGCACTTGCATTAGAAAGACCAGCAAGTACTTCCCCTCCTGACTATAAATTGGGAGCTCCCTCTGCAGACCCGTCCTGATCCTGCAGGTCTGTTAGTGCCATTTCTGCCATCTGCCCGTGGGGCTGGGGGTGCTGCATAGGCCCCACTCTCACTGTCTGTGCAAAGGGAACCACTGAAACACACAAGGCTGTGGTTTTGGTACACGTGAGAAGCTGTAGTTACCAACTGCAGCACAAGCAAAAGGGCAAATAAGCAAGAACATACAGCACGGGAAGTAAGGAGAAGGCAAAGTTATGAAGAAGTCCCTAAGGGGCCTGGGAACTCAGCAAGCAAACCCCAAATCCAGTACAGAAGCAGGCTGGGAACATTTCAAGACGATGGAATTCCACAGCCTCCCTGAAAGCAGAAGGCAGCCAGCCCTGCCAATAGAAGGCTGGATGGAGCCGTCAGCAAGCACTGCAACTGAAAGGAGTGCACCCAGCAAGAGTCAGAGCAGTTTTCTGAAGATAACAGCATACGCAGGGCAGCATGCCCAGTGTCCTCTGCAGCACTTTGCCACCACTTGTAAATACAGCTCAGCTAAAATAGCTGCCCTTCATCCCCATGCAGTCCCTGAGCTATCAGCATGTGCATCTCTATCTGAGCCTACCGGAAGCCTTAAGGTGAGACCCCCCCGTATGAAAGTCATGCTTGCCTTCAGCATGTGATTTTTAAGATGGCAGCCAAGGGGGAAGGACGAGAAGAGGAACAGGCAATAGAAAACAAGACCAAACATGTTTAGTTTTAGTATGTTTAATAGACTTTGTGATGTAAGCATGCTACAAGACAATGCCCAGCGGGCAGCGCGGGAAGAATACAAAAATTCTTTCGCTGAAAGATGAGAGCTGACAGTGAAAAGAGCATCAGCAAAGGTGGTTTTCAGAAGAATCCCAATGAAAAAGCTCGAGACTCAGAACTCAGAAGGGAAGGCTTGCTTCAAAGTGAACATTACAAAGATTATCTCTTCACATTGTTTATGGATCCCATATTCAAAGAGGCAAGAGAACAAGGGCGAGCCATCTGGCCCAATCCCCATGTACTGCAGATCTGAGTAAGCACACAAGCCCTTGAAGAGGATGCTTGGCTTTGTCCAATGTGCTGGATTTAGAGGGCTTTTGTTGAGGTAAATTCCCAAATCTCTTCGGCCCCTTGGGTCTGCAGGATGAGTGTACAGCAACCAGCTATCTTGGCACCAGACATCAGAGGGAGGAGGGAAGGCAACAATGCTTCCATGACATCCAGAGGGAGGCTCCACAAGCTTTTCAACCCGCTGGCCTTCCTCAAAATCCACCCCGTTGTTGTGGCTGACAGCCTGGATTCTGGCTCCCTTGTTGGTCCTAGCATTGCAGTAGAGCACATTCATGCCACAGCGGTGTACCTCAGCTACCTGGCATTCCCCTGCACTCTCTTTTCCCACAAAGTTCCCCATCTCCCACGTCATCCCATGGTCAGAGCTGATGAAGCAGAAGGTATAAGAGACAGGGTGATGCTTAGGGTCAAGGATACGAAAGGCATAGGCAGGAATCACAAGGCTCCGGGCCTCATTGGACAGCTGTAATCCATGACCTGGTCCCACTGCAAAAGTGGCCCAGTTCTTGTACTCTGTGCTGATGGTGCTCTCGGTGATATCCTGAACAGGGCTCCATGTGTGTCCTTGGTCCACGCTAGTGACATAGCAGAGACGTACCAGGTTGGTCTTTGTCCTGAGCTGGTAGTGCTCAGAGATCTTTCCTGGGACAGCTATGAAGAACAGGATCAGATTCCCCGAGACCTCATCATAAACAGGACAGGGATTCATGGATCGGTGACCTTCCAGCTGTGCACTGATAATGGTCTCCATGCCGCTCCACTGCCAAGGCAGAGTGAAAAGAGACAAGAGTGAAACAAATACATCCAGGTTACAGCATGAGGATGCTCAGATAAAGTTACAGAACAGCTTGAGAACAACTGAGGAGAAGCAAATCTGGAGATAGAGCATAAAACAGGCATCACCAGATGTAAATTAAAAGAAATTAAGATGACTTGGATGATGCAGGACTCGCACGCTTTACCAAACAGGTGAGCTATGTCCTTTTTAAATGACTACTCATTGAGGAGCTGATAACTGCATCTCAATGCAGTAGGTGTCTGATGACACTTAAAAAACCAAAAAAAAAAAACCCAAAAAAACCAGCAACAGTAGTTAAATTGTAAGAAATTCTCATCAATATAGATATGACACAGACGTGCCAGGGTTAAAACATGCTCGTAGACATTTTGCTCTGTTAGTGCTTCTCAGGAAGTCAGCTAGATAAAGGAGCCCTCTTCAAGCATACAGCACACTGATAAATCCATTACATTCAGACTCCTACTCCCTCATTTTGAGTGTTACCTAAATGATACAACGCTGCAGGTGCAGTTAGAGGCTGCTTCTGCTAGGCAGACTCCAGCTCTTAAAGGTCCCTGTTAAAGGATTACTATTCTGTGATAAAGGATTGAGTTAGAAAAAGAAACTTCCCCTCCGCCCCCCCCCCAAAAAAAAGCCTTTAATGCATTTGCAAATGCAAGAAATGATTATAAATAGAGTATCCAGCACCCCCAGTCACCCAGCAAGATAACTGTTAACAATAATAACAACTGGGAGATTAATAAAGTAGCCCATTCGCTGGCACAGACAAACCAAATGACACTGTTTTGCGTGGGGAGACTAGCTGTTCTCAATTGCTTTTTAAACCAGAAATTAGTTCTAGGAAGATTAAAAAAAAAAAAAGCCAGCGATTGCTAATTTACTGCTCCCTATCTCTGTGACACTCCTCATTTCTCTTTCCACACCTCTGCAACTGCAGTAGGACTTGTGCCCTATGTCTCTCTCTGCTTCTGCTTCTCTGCTTCTACTACAGCTGCCCCACTTGATTTCCCCAACTATTGGGCAATCACGAGGTTGAATCCCAGCAGCTATAAAAGTAAATGCATTACTCATAGGCTATAATTGAGCAGGAGAGATCTGTTTAACTACAGAGGAGAGGGCAGATACATTCAAGTCCTTTGGGAGCAGGGTAGCAGTGTAGTCGGACAGTCTCCTCTATTTCCTTACCAACTGGTACCTGAACATGGTGTCTGCCTGGGTTGTACGTGCCTCTGCGCATCACTATGAGCTTGGCATGCTCATCCACCACATCCTCTCTTTCCTCAGCAAATGCCAGGATGATGCTGAAACGTGGCAGGTAAAGCAGGGCTGGAATTCGATAGCTCCACGTGCCATTCCGGAACAACACCTCTTGCTTGAGGACAGGAAACGAAGCCATCGTGCTAAGGGAATGAAACAGAAATGCACTGCATTTTAACCCATGCTCAGCCCAGCAAAGTACAACAGAAACAGATCCCACCACTTCTTGCCCTCTTTGCTCTTTGCTCTTCCTGCTCAGTGTGTTCTGACAGGCACTGAAATGTCATTCCTGCTGCTTTCAGTTTCATGCTCTTCTGAAGAGGAGCCACATACTGCACAGCAGTCAGCAACACAGACCAGACTTCGACCAGAAACAGCCTGGTTAATCTTACTGGAATAAAATAAGTTCTCTAAACACAGTAAATGAAAAAGCCGCCTGTGGTTTGTTTCTTCTTAATGAAATTCACAAGCTGAGATCTTTGTGGGTTTGCTTTGTAATTCAAAAGACTGACAATGATCAGACATTTTAGCATTTTCCCCTCTGAAAAGCATGATTGCCTTTGTTGGTGGTGTTTCCAAAACCCAGAACAGAACTAATGCTTTGCCAAACATGAACTTTGAGCCCCATAAAAACAAGTCACTGAAGCAATCTCTGGCCCTAGCTATGCCTCTATTTAAGGATAGTAAACACCGAGCATGGAAAAAGAAGGAAAACATCCTCTCCCAAAACATCACAAACAGTCTGAAAGATGCCAGCCAGCTGCATCTAAGCTGAGAGTGCCGGGCAAAGGCCAAGGCAGAACAAGAGGATTTATGGACTGGGTACTGCAGGTTTCTAATTGGGACGGGCCACTGTATGCCTGAAACATTATATGCTTTGCTGAAACAACATATGCTTTGGAAACGAGGAGATCAGCAGTATGGAGCTACTAATGGGTAAGGCATCAGGAGGGACTTCTGGTCCGCTGAGACTCTTGTCATCCATACAGCAAGTAAGAGATGTTAGGGAGCAAGACAATCACAGAACGGCTTAGCTTGGAAGGGACCTTACAGCCCACTCAGTCCCAACTCCTGCTGTGGGCTGGCTGCCCCCACCAGCACAGGCTGGTGCCCAGAACCCATCCAGCCTGGCCCTGAGCATCTCCAGGGATGGACACCCACACTTCCCTGGGCAGCAGTGCCAGGGCCTCACTGCTCTCTTCCTCTCCTTGGATCCGCTCAGCTTTCTGTCCTGTGGCACCAAACCTCTCTTGGGAACTGATTTATCCTGGCAAAAGCCCATTGGCTGAAGGGAACCGTGTTTAAGTTCTTCTTTAAACAAAAAGAAGTCTCTCATATGATGGACCAGAAACTGAAGGCATGAAAACCATGTGCTCAGCATAGATATCAGAGAGATGGGGAATAAAATGAAAACAAAATTAAAAAAAAAAAAAAAAAAAAAATATCAGGCCTTAGATCTCTGACGCATTGAGTGGGTAGGATGGCAGGGATAAGATGACAATACACTATGAGTAAGAAATTGAAATGCCTCCTACCTCAGCTGAGACAAGACTTGCAATGCTGCCTTGAGCACTGAAGATTCCCTGAGATTTAGATAAATAGGAAAGTGCTGTAGTAGTTATTGGGTGTGCATCACATCCTCACGTTTCTGAAGGCTGTCTTGATAACTCAGGATCTGCACTGTTTCAGCTAAAGCCAGCTGTACAGACCGGAGCCAGCCACAGCCCCACGGCTGCTCAGACGCAGAGCCACACGGGAGAGAACTGTCTCAATGGAATACTACTCCCTCCTCATTGCCACTTACAGTACATCAGAGCAGCTACTATACAGAAACATTACCAGGGATCTGATCTCAGCTCTCCATACAACATGGAAGAAAAAAAGGAAGACCTTCCTAGGATAAATAACGGTGTTGCTCACCGCATAGCGGCACGGCTCTGGCTACTCACACTGATTGCAGCCATGGCTGTGTTCTCGTGGTTCCTGAAACAGAAGTTCATCAGAGCACCTCCAGGCTATTTAAAGGGAGATTATTTCAAGAGATGTTAGTCAGCCTATCTGGTGCAGCACAGGTTCCATAGCTCATGGTGCTATGCTGATATTGTAATCTTTTTGCAGGGCAGGGCAAGAGGGAGGGGGGGAAACGAAAAAAAGGGATGAAAAATAAACAGTGGCAGAGATGTAGGCTACACCCATACGTTCTTGATGCAGAGCTGGGAAACCAGTGCCACAGAGGCTGTGCTGCAGCACAGGGGCAGAGAAGCCTAAGGGAGCCAAGTCCCTCCTGCACCGTCCTGCCATCTGCAGGCAGCTCTGCACCGTGCCCTTCGCCCCTGCGCTGAGAGATGCTGGGTGAGGGTGTTGCAACATTCATCTTTTCCTCTGATTGCCAAACAGGGAGTGAGGGAAGGTGGGATGTTAAAAGACTGTGAATGGCTGCCATAGAAACAAGCCCTGGACACAGCACTTGCAACTGCAGTTGAAGAAAATACTAGAATTACATGACTTTTCCATCTACCCAGAGATTAAATAGGTGTGCGTGTGTACACATCTACACACATTTGTGTACACACATCCTGTATGTAGGGAGTACATTAAGTCTGTACGCATATACACACATACAACACATCCATCTGTAGAGAAACTCTTCTATCTTTTTTGTTAATACGCTTAAAAATCAGTATTAAGTTCCTTCTGTCTTCTCCATTGGCGGATCATCAAGCAGAGATAAAGTCACAACAGCCTGAGTTACACAGAATTAAAGAGATGCAGAATCTTAAAACAGCTTAGGGCTACTGATATACATACAAAAAGAGCAAAAACTTGTGCTGCTTTAGCTACCGTCCAGCCAGCTGAAAAATGCTTGATCTTTCTCTTGACCTCTACCCAATGTCAAAGGTAAAAGCGCCAGCTACACTTCCCAGAAATAAGAGAGAAGATTTGCATATCATCAACAGAACATCAGATCCTGATCAGGACAGTCACAAGGCACGTTCAGAAGCTCAGACTCCAGCACTGCAGCAGCTCACATCAGACAGGCCAGACTATTAAATTGCCAGGGGATGCACCCTTGAGAAGTGCTCTGTTCAGGGCACTGACATCAACCTGCAGTTCCTTTCCAAAGCACCAGGGAAGCTGCTGCCCTGAGTACTCCATCTCCAGGTAGATGTGGGCAGACAGAGAAAGAAGTGCATGGTGAGGAAAAGGGGGAGTTAAGCTGGAGAAAACCATTACTCAGAACTTGCAAGTTATACAGCTGCAATGATTTCCAAAGAGGAGACTTGTTCCAGTGTGCCAGAAGAGTCAAAATAAATAGCAGTGGGCAACAAAGTGAATCTGTGACGGATGTGAGGCCCAGAACAAGCCTGAGCAGCAGAAAGGAATAGCTGCTGGTCATCTCCAGGAGTATCTGTCCTTCCACTCAGTGGAAGGATTCCTCCAAGGCAGCTCATGTGGTTCCTTGGTGGTAGTTTGTTATTGTTTTGTTTTAAATATAGGGGAGAATTGGCCCTCGTGTGTTTATTTTCTTTAACCCTCACCAAGAAAAGTGACTAAGCAGGATAACATTTCTACTGGCTTCAGCTTCTGTTGAAAACCTGTCCTTAACACGTTCAGATCTAAGAAGAAATGGCAGTACGTTTGCTCCTGCAGGAACCCAGACAGGGCCCAAGCAAACACACACAAACCTATTGGGAGAGACTGGGGAAAGGCACGAGGAACACAAACAAAAGAACCTGAAAGAGTAAAGCTCAAAACTCAACGAAAATTCTGCTTTTCAACACAAGCACAAGAAGCCAAGTCCTGCCCTTCTCCATTCAGTATCAGACCTGGACTTTCAGCATTTTCCATATAGAAGCAGCCAAACACTATCCTAAAATACTTTTTTTGTTTCATTTAAACAAAAAAGAAAACACTTCAATTGGGATACTGCACAGATGGGGATCAAGAGAAGCCATGTTCCTGTTGTACAGGGCTAAGAAATAGTAGACCCAGCCTGCTTCCAAAATATTACACAGTGCATTTTGACGTGCAAGCCTTCCCTCCTAATTAAATGGAATGATTGTACCTATTTCCACTGAAACTCAGCAGCAGAGAGCTCTAGTTCCAGCCTTCTCCTTAGACCAGGTGCTACACTAAATCTAGGACTCAGCCACTCTTTACAAGCCAGGCAGCACCAACACGTCAGCCTCAATGTCAAGTCAGAAGGAAAAGTTATCAGCGAGACCAGGCAAACAACAGACCTTAAACAAAAGGCTCTTTCCAACGTTCAGAATTCAAGACTAAGGGCACTTTAAGGAGTGACTTTAATCCAGCTGTCAACTGGATCAAACTTTTTAACTATGCTACAAACAGAAAGTTTTCCTTGTAGCATGAGCTTCGTGCCATACTTAGAAGGGGATTTTTAGCCTCCTTGGTAGATGCTTTCCTAAACAATCCATCAAGTTCTGCTTTCAAAACGTAGCTCAGCCTGGCAACAGCTCCTGTGCTTTATAACATAGGTTTTCTCAGCAGTACAGAGAAATTACATGAAGCAGCTTTGTTTTTTCTTAGCATATGTTTGTTTGTTTGGTGGAGGACTACACACACTCCTTCCTGAACCTCCAAAATGATGTATTTACCTTTTCTAGCTCCCAGCAACACCCGCCATTACGCAGAGAATAAAAAGGAGGTAAACAAAAGGAAAAAGAAAAGGAAATACCTCTCTTCAGTTTGTGCCTCCTGGAAGTCACGTCAAAAGTAAAGGGAAAAAAAAAGAAAAAAAAAAGAGAAAAGAAAAACACTCCTATTGAATACAAGAAAAGGGAGGATCACCACACTCTCACCAACTTGTCTCCAACCTACAAGATTATTTATGTTGGCAGCGATGTCAGCTGTCTCGGATCCCCCGGGAAGAGCCAGCAGCCAGCATGTATACACAAGCTGACATTTAAATAGCAAACCTGCTTTGCATAGAAGGGGAGGTTCCATGTGAGCAGGACAAATGCTAGGGAAAGATTTTTAAGCGTTCATAGTAATTAACGTGTTTCTACCTGCATGGATTGACAGGACTGCGTTGTTGCTGATAGTTACACCATTCAGCATGCTGTCATATCCTGGTCTTCTCGTCCCCTCATGCTGAGGAGGGTAAAATTCCTTCAATCTCTACATGCAGACTTGCAGTGCGTCCTCTCATAGAGCTCCTGAGCACCGTGAAAGTTTGCTGAAAGAAGTCAGAAGATGGATATAACAGCAGGTGAAATTGCTGTGTCAACCTAATGCATTCCTCTGGTTGGCTTTACCCACCTCCCATCCATCAGTGCACTGTTTTGAGATGAAGAAATGGGTCAACACAGGAATCTCCAGGCCGTAGTATGGGAACAACATGCTGGTGTATGCAGGTGCACTCCCCAGCAGCTTATGTGGAGGTGCTACCAGTGCCCATCTTCACCCCAGCAGCTGCAGTCAATGAAGCAATGAGCAGGGTTGAGTAGGAGGGTGTGAACCTGGGGTCCTAGCATGTAGTGGGAGGCTGAGGGAGAAGAGAATAAGGCCATTGATTCTCCCAGGTGTGGCCTGCCTAGCTTAAAGGCAGCACCTGCAGCTTCTACTGCTGGGAACAGCCAAGCAAATGCTTTCGTGATGTACCTTGAGCTGCTGGTGCAACGTGGAACTGCTGTTGTTGTTAGAGATGGCCTTGCCTTTCCTTTTCCTTGTTGTTTCTCTTGCTTTACTCTCTTCTCTACTGTTTCCATTGCTGCCATTAATGCTTCTTGTCTCTCAATTTACTGGGGGAAAAAAACAATAACAACAATAATCCTGTAAACAGATCTTGCTAGTAATGTAAAGGGACAAAGCAAGGCCTACTCACTTGACAGCAATTGTGATTTTGATCTGTGCAAGCCAAACACAGAGTTGCAAGGGTGTGGATTTACAACCAACCAACTTAATTAAATTCTTTTGTGTTACCATCTTCCCTCTCTCTTGAGCAACCATGCCTCCTTTCTTGTGCCAGTGCTGATGCTCATCTTGCTTTGGCAAGCCATCAGAGGATGTCAGTTTGGCAGAAAACTAATCTAGGGGGAAAAAAAAGGAAGAAAAAAAAAAAAGTGAACAGTTTTCTGCTGGGTCACTGTCCTGGACTGCATCAGCAGAAGTCAGACAAGCATCAGGGGAGGGAGCAGGAGAACAGAGCTGTTGACACAAGGAGCAGACTACCTCTCTGTCTGGCAGCTGGCCATTACAGCACATTAGCTACGTCATAAAACCACACCCCATATTTATGAACCTCACCTTAGCTGGGCAAGCAAAGTATTGCCTGAACTGAGAGACGCAAAAGGAGCCCCAGGGCATTTGTATTTTGTTGTATCTGGAATCAAACAATAGTCAGCACAAGGGAAAACTCCTCAAGAGACAAAGGCATTGATATCCATGAAATAATAACTTCTAACCTGGAAAAAATCCAGACAAGCAAAACAGGCACCATTAAGAAAGAAGGAAAGACACTGGGAAGGCTGCTAAGACAGTGCCAGAAAGCAAGACCAGAACAATTGCTTTGTGGATTTCACCTTTTTCCCTGCTCCCTGGCTAACGGCTGCGTTGCTCAAGTGGTGTTGTGAGTCACATGCTGCTTCTGCAGTCAGACAGCCCACAAAAGCAAGTTTGTTTCATACGCATCACTTTGCTTGGCTCTAGCTTAAAACTGGTTGTCCATTTCTGCTTAGAGAGGCCCATCCCAAATGTGGCTGGCAGCACATGCTATGGTGGCAATGCTCTGTGCTCTATAGCAGCAGCACCTGGGTTGTAGGCTGGCTGTGCCTCTGGCCACCTCCCAGTCCCCACTGCCCTCACCCTTCCTCCCCAGGCATCCACACAAAGTGGGTTTCTCAGTGTAGATGTGCTGGGCTCAATCCCCCCTGCTTCCTTCTGCTATAAATCAGAATCAGTGGCACAGTGAAGTTTAAGATAAGTCTGGGGAGAATCAAGCTTGTCATTTCTGTTATTCCACACTTACTTCATCGCCTTTATATCTGATTGTTGTAATGAAAACGTTTTTAAAAAGGTTAAAAAATGCAAATGGGGTGTGTGGGTGCATTAATAAGAGGATATAAAAATAATGCAGAAGATAATGTAATGAAAGAATACTGAACAATGGAGCATTTGCATTTGGAGGACCATGTTCAATTTTGGGTGCCACGTCTTAGGAAAGGTGTAGCAATAGCTGCAAGCGAAGGCTAAGAATTCAGAAGCTAATGCTGGCGAGTGTATGTGAAAACAAGTAGGGAAACAAGAGATGTTGCAATTAACAAGAGCGACACACGGTCCATTAAAAACTGTCGGCTATATTTCCTTTGCAAAATGTTTAAACCTGAATCCACTGTTTGTTAAACTGTGAGGAAGGCGGGCAGGCTCGGGTAGTTCTGTGTGATGGCTTAGCTACAGAGCGTGGCGGCTGTCATCAGCCAGCTAACATTAAAATCGAGATGCCCTGTGTGGAGTCAGGCTGTAGGAGAGAGAATTACACTGTTTTGCAAATTTTCAGTTACAACACTATGGGCTGCCCTCCAGGTGTTAGGCAATATGGCACCATTTGTGCAGAACACGAGTCCTGTGGACCTGGGGGCTGACTGCTCTGTTAGCAAAAACAAAACTGAGAAAAAGCCCAAGTAATAATACTGAATCTAACTCATGCAAGCGGTCACTTTCCCAGCAAATCACAGACTGTTAGTATTTCCCTTCCTTGTGGAAAGACTTGAGCAAAATCACAAACATTTACTTCCTCTACCCAAGGAGCACCGCCATGACCCTACCTGTCTGCTTTCTGACCTTCCACAGTGAGCTTTGTGTTCCTCATGGGGAACCTTCTGTCCCCTGGGAAAGACAATGTCCAGTGCCTATAATACGTGGCATACCTTTCTGCCATTCACTCTTCTCACTGGGACCAGAAAAAGGAATACGTTTTATTTTGGTAACAAAATGGAGGGCAATCTTTAGAAAGCAAAAAGAGACACGGTGAGATTTACATACAAAAAGAGGATTGTGGAAGCAGGATTTATCTAGTTCTCAAAGTAGCAAAGCGATGAGGAGTTGCTCCGTGACAGCTTGGTTAATTTAATGACAGAAAAGTGCAATAAAACCGGATTCTCTTGCCTTATGTCCCCTCCCAGCTCTGGGGACACTGACAAACAAGTCTGAAGCATGAGGTCCACCTGGGAGTGACTCTTGTGATAGCACGTCCCTCGTGTCCCACTAGCTTGCAGAGCAGGAGTGCACAGTCTGACGGTGACTTTGAGTAATCATTACAAGAGTAATTGCTGACAGCCCTGTATGCCAAGGCCAGGCCCTCAGCTGATATAAAGGGACAGTGGCATTGGTGGTCAGAAAGCTATGACAACCAACCCCAGATTAACCAGAGCTTTACTGAATGAATATTTGGGTGTCCACAGGGTAGATAGGGTGTGGGCAAAATACAGTTGCTATCACAAGAAACAGGGTAATGTTACAACCAGTTAAAACAACAGGGCAGTTGGCAAGTCTGGTGAACTTTAAGAAAGAAAGAAAATCATAGGAAAGGCTAGCATTAGCTTCAGCAGGAGATACGATGCTTTATGCCATTCCATCTGCAGGCTTACAAATAGCAGGTGAGTTGAAGGAGTTCCAGGATGAAGAAAAAGCTGTCTCCTAAGTATAGCACTGCATAGATATCTGCAGGAAGTGGGGTTTTTTGGTCTTCCTTCGAAGCACTGGGCTCTAAGCTGCTTGCAGAAGAGAGACATTCATTTAAGCAAGCCCACTTGCAAGCACAGCAAATGTAAGCACAACCTGAATTGGAAATCAAAGTATTTCGGGGGAGAAAATTATAATGCATTTGGATGAACAGTTACAAAAGGCCTTGTAATAAAACCAGCTGGGTCTGCTACGTTCCAGGTGTCCCAGAGCCCAGGTGTGGGAACACACATGAAATGTGAAAACTGACAGGCTAAAAATAATCACAAGCATGTAGGGTTTGTCATCTCAAATGGCTGGAAATAATGTAAAGCAAGAGCAGTAGCTCGGCCAGTGGAGCTGAAAAGTGTGATCAAATGGCTTTTGCTGTTTCCACGTACTTGAGTTGGCAGATTTGAAGAGAAGTTTCACCTAGTTTTATACAGGAAGTTTTACAAAGCCCTGTCAGTAAACCTTTGGCACAAGCGGTGCAAAGGACCTTCAGAACGTGTTTGTACTGACTTACCTGGCTAAAGGGAAAGCTGTTCCTTTAAATTGTTTGCTGTGGCTCTGGAAACTGAGCAAACAAAGTCAGAGGGAAACTTCCCTTTCAAGTGGAACTGTCAGAAGGTACAAGGACTGAAGGACAGAGATCTTCAATAGGACACACCTGCATCGGGATTCAGAGCTGAACTGCAAATTTCTAACAACCTGGGGGAGTTTAGACCTGATTTGTTGGACACACCTAATCCTAATGGCAAATGAGAGCCTGGTTCAGCCCCAGACTGTCAGGTGAGTAAAATCCTATTCTGGGGGGATGCTAGAAGAGGAGTGGTCTGAGGAAAAAAGCCTCAGAAAGGCACAAGTGCAGTGCCTGAGAAAGAAGCGGCTTTGCTCTGCCAGCAAAGTCACCCTGAAGGGACCCCGTGCAACCTGGATGGAGTGCAGCTGAAATGCCGGCTGGTGGAATGGAGGCACTGCTGGCACAGCCCGACAGGCTGCACATCCAGCAGGGAGGAAACCCAGGCAGAAAGGAGGCTCAGACTGCACTAAATGGGCATTAAGGTGACCAACTAAAGAGCAAACATCCCCAGAGCAATCAATCAAACCGTGCGTCTTTTTCCAGGGGCAGGACAAGCTGTGATTTTTTCCTGGCAAATGTTTGCGTGTGATCTTGCTTTTAAAAAAACAAAACACAGAAAGAAAGAAAATAAAGGCAGGAAATATGAAAAACAGCCTGTTTTCCTCCTAAGGGCAGGCTGATCTTTCCCTTTAGCTGAGCTGTCCTTTCTCTCTCAGGAGACCAATTGCCCTGTATCCACTGTGGCTGTGAATGCCATCCCAGCAATGATAGATATTTTTAAATGCGCCAAGTAAACAAGAAATCAAATCTCATAAGAAAGAGCTAGCTCTGGAGGTATTAACCTATTGACAGATTCAGCGTTACAGCAGATCTGCCAGCTCCAGACCCAATCAAAAGTAGGAAATGGCACTGAAAAAAATACGTATTTTTAAAAATGTTTTCCTGAACATATAAAAAGGTCCAACTGGACTACATTCATCTCAGGAGATGGATGGAAATTTTGTTCAGGACTGATCTTACCCAGGCTCAGATAAGGACTGACAAATCCAATCCACTTTAAGACCAGCTGTAAATATAAGAGTGTGTGTGAAACACCACAGTAATTGACAGAAAAGAAATGCCTGGAGACAAAGAATGCATTGTCCCACACTGCCTAATTTTGGGAGAACATTTGCAAGACAATGTAAAATGCTTTAACTATGTAATTACCATTATCTGTCCCTGTGTGTGTTGGCAATGCCTGGGGTTTTTACTATAAGTCTGCTTTTGGCAGGAGCTTGTTCTGAGTATTTCTGTCAGCAGTAATATCACCATCTTTACCACAATAGTGTCTGGAGGCAATGTTTCATGTTCCCAAGTAACAGCCCATGGAAGCACCCCCATGGGTGACGGAGCACTGGAACAGGCTGCCCAGGGAGGTGGTGGAGTCTCCTTCTCTGGAGATGTTCAAGACCTGCCTGGACGCCTACCTGTGCGACCTGCTGTAGGGAACCTGCTTTGGCAGGGGGGTTGGACTTGATGATCTCTGGAGGTCCCTTCCAACCCCTACAATTCTGTGATTCTGTGATTCTGTGATAAGAAAAACTGACAAGATTCAGTGAAATCTAAAACAATCTAGAAACCTTGGCTCCTTCCTGCCATCTCTTTCCTAGCCAAAATCAGCTCTGAATCAGATAATCATGAAAAAACAGATCTGGCTTAATCTGCAAAACCTGGACCTTGCTGTCCAAAAGGGGGCACTTCCTGAGACAACGACCCCCTCAGCTCAAAGGAAACTTTGGGAGAGCAACAGGGAATGACAACTCCAGACAAAATACCTGCTCTTGGGTTAGGAATGTAGGAAAATGCAAATGAATAGAACAAAAAATAGATAATATCCAAAGAGGTTTTACTTTCTTTTTAATTCAACTATTATCCAGAGCTCTTTTGAACCGAGATTCTGTCTGTGCCATACTCTTGCTTGAGCTCCTTGCTGAGTTCCTGCTCAAGTAGCTCCCAAGGAAAGGCCGTAGGAGAAACATAGTAGAATTTATATAGTATGGTGCAGTTCTCCTCCTCTAGCAAACAGAGGAGTAAGACCCAGGAAAATCCCTGACTTGTTCAGATTGCCCCGGGAATTGCAGCAGAGCTGAGCAATGAACCCTGCCCTCTCAGGAGCTAACTCAGTGCCACTGCCGTGGGATTTCCCCACACTCATCCCCACGTTGCTCCTTCCATGCTTAAAACTGGGGAGGGAAAGAACTGCTGTCAGGGGAAAGGTCTCAAAGGAGAAGCCCTGCCAATCTTTTCCAGCACTTCCACTCTCTGAAGTGAGCTACGCAACTGTGGTTGAGGAGACTGTGTCACTTGTTGGACAAAAAAATAAACACAGTGCAGATGCATATGCAGACAGCGCTGCAGGGGTGCCTGTTTTTTGGCAACACATCGCTGCCTGCTGCTGTAGCTGGCAAACTGGATGTGACTGCCAAAGCCCAGAACTGGTACCCCAGTCCTAGGACAGAAGAAACCGCTCTGCACTGGGAGCAGCAGTCCTGCCAGCACCTGCCTTCTTGCCAGGGTCTATCCTCTTGGGGCCAGAAAGAGACATTCTGGAGAAGTTTGTATTTCTGATGCTGCACAGTTTCCAGAGTTGCTCATCAAGTATTTTTTCCTGAGCACTTGCACAATCAGTCCAACAGGCCATAAGAATAGCATCCGTTTGTACGAGGTTTTAATTTAGCAGCTGACAAGGATGGCCTAGCAGCCTTCCAAACCTGCCTGGCATTTCAAACCAGTAGAAACCAGGTTAACAAGATTCTGATGTCTGTCCTGACTTCTGGCTTGCTTGCAGCTACAGATTTGCAGGCAGACTCATCAGATGCTCCTTGGAGCCTCCACCCAATAACCACTGGGGGAAAAACTGAGAGCTCTACTATTCCTTGATCAACAACATCAGCCTCTTCTTTCCCTGCTTCTTTATAAACTCTTCCAAATAAAACTCCCTTTGAGTTCTTACCTCTGCAGTTCAAATAACCACCCTTGCTCATGCTTCCTTAACAAGTGTCTCATACACAACAGCACATCCAGAAATAGGAGTGGATGACACTGTTTTTTCCCCCAAGAGCAGCACGGGTGTTGTCTGCCCCAGGGAAACTGGGCTTGTCTGCTTACTAACCAGTTTGTCTTGAAAAGTTTCAACCAAGACATCTGCTAACCCCATCTCCACGTAACCTGGCATTACTAACCCGCCCTGCTTCCAGTGAGGCATTCTGCCCAGGACATTATTTCTCATACCATGTACTTGGCTAAACCATTTCATCACTAACTAAACTTCCTAAGCCACAGTGTTTCAATTTTCAGAGGCTGTGGCATTTCTGGACTAAGCTTTATGTTGTATATTCTTTCCATGGCTGGAATGCTCCACATGAAGAGAACAAATGAAAAGGAACGAGGACCCTCAACTCCCTTTTGCATGGCAGCAGAGGCAAAAACATTTCCTAATCAGCAGGGAAAAGGAGAGGATATGGGGTTCCTCTAGAGACAGGTGTATATAAAAATGTCAGTGAGGTCAGAAGAGCAAGTCATGTTTTATGCCTTCTTAAGATGCTCTCCACATCTTCAAGCAGGGATGTACTTTCACCACTGTGTATGCACTAATTTAAGGAAAAGAATAAAAATAAGGTCAGCTTTTTCTTTAATTAGTTTTAAGAGCTTATAATGAAAACCAGAAGGACTGGTAGATTTCCACTTTTACTCTTCTGTGTGCTTTATAAATTAGGTTAACTCTCACACACAGATAGAAAATGTGTGTGTGTGTGTTTATAGACATGTTTATACACACATGTAAAATAACTTCGGAGCGGGGATACTTTAACATCTAAACTGTAGCTGTATCTACTGCAGGAGGCACATGGAAATAAGCATGGAATGCAATAGGGTAGGGCTGGACTACTCTGAGATATAGGGACCAAACAAATATATCCATAAGCAGAGACTGCAATTACTGATTATATACAAGAAAGCACGTATTTTCAGTCATTACTTTTGAATCAAAAAAGTAATTAGTTAACAGCAGAAAAGATAAATCATTCTGGCAGCAGAAAAATACGTAGTTATTGAGTGTTACTCATTAAGTGTATATATATTGATGTATATAAGTTAATTAAGACAGAGTAGCTGCTATAAACACTCAATTTTTCACGCAGAGGGAGTTGCATGAAGGCATATCTGTTCCTGTCATGTGTAAGTAGCCATTTATAGGACACACTCACTTTGTATCTATGTTTACACATGTACACTTCTACCCATAGAAGGTCCCACAATGCCAGACTGAATTCTGGAGACATTTTTATATCTAGGCAGGCCGCGTGACTCATTTTTAGCTGCTTTTAATGTGCTGGTTTCTCTCTCTAAGCCTCGTTTGCTTGCTCTCATGGTGTCTAATGCACATGGCTTTGGAAGCTATATTAAACGAATCCAACGTCTTTATTTTTAGTGTCTGAAGTGTTCCTAAAACAGGTTCTCTGTAGCATATGTGCAAGACATAAAGGTTTTATTGTCACAAGCGTGTAATTAACTGCATAATTCTCTCTTGGCCCTGCTTGCTGTAAATATGGTACCATCGCTAAATCACTGCAACAAAACCATTTTGTTCCACTTTTCACCTGAAAAACTAGCTCAAAATCCGAGTGGCTGTAGTTTGATGCTGTTAGGAGTGGTGGTAGCAACACTTCTGTTTTCAAGAGATATACGAAATACTTGGTTTTGTAAACGTGTAGGGCCAAATAATGTAATATGCTTTCAGCCAACATCCCCAGACTTGTCTACTTTATCTCTCTGGCTTCTGCTGTGAACCTCTCTGGTCTGTGTCTCACTTGCTGGTCAGCCTGTCTCCGTGCTCCAACCTGGTTTCTCCACTCCCCTGCCTTAATCAAATATTACCTCGGCCTTGTACCTAGATAGTTCAAATTCTTTTGTGAAATGTCACGTACCTTTGCTTTGGACAGGCCCGTGTGCTTAACTGTCTCTTGCAGCCATTTAAAAGAAAGGGTTGGGATTGCTGGCAGCTCCAAGGAGGGCTATCCCAACCAAAAACATAAATACACGTGTAGCCAGGCAGCAGAGTGGCCTGATGGCTTTAGTCGTGGCCGTTGAGGCATTAGCAGGCTCAGCTGCCTTGCATCCTTCCTCTGTCAGCCAGCTCCCCTGCAGCAGGGGTGGCACAAAATGGGACATGGGAGAGCGCCTGACTGACAGCACTTTGAAGGCTGCGCGTTAGCTCAAACCTCTGATGAGGCTAAATGAATTCACAGCTACATCTGCCACAGCCCAGGGCTGAGTCTGTGGGCGTTGCTATTCCCCTGACTCCGACAGAAATATCTCCCAATGCAAACGCAGGCCTGAGCCTGTGTGGAGCCCTGGTGCCTTCAGCAGGGCCCACCTGTTGTGGCACTCCTTCAGGGGCTGGCAGCCACGTGAGCAAGAACAGCAGCAGATGAGTAAGGCCTGCTGCTGGATTTGGGACTGTGCCCCTGCTTTATCCTCATGATGATGCACAGTGGAATACTTTAGAGATGACATTCCAGTCTGCTCTTAAAGTGGAGGAACAAGAGGAGAAAAAAAAAGCCATGCCTCAGACACAAGGATGTAATGGGGGAGTGGTGGCGGTGGGAGGCAGAGACTCATGCTCAGTTTGCAGAATCAAAGCATTTTAGAAAGAAACTAATATGATGTAGCAAAATAAGCATGCTGAAACTGTATTTAAAGAATTAATATTAAAGAAGCCACATTCACCGTGAGAGGTTGAAGATGGTTCTAAAAGAGCCCCATCTGGTTCATCAGATAGGCAGGAAAGCTGCATCCCTACATTCAACGTGCAAAATCTTCCAGATGAGGTCATTAATTAAAACAAGTTTGCACACACAAAAAGGAAGAAAAGATGATATGGTTGTCTTGACTTTCTGCAGTACAAAAACACTACAGCAGAGACAGTAATTTCTGCATTGAGCCCAATGCTTTCCATGGTGCCAAACATACTTTAAATGAGCATCCAGTCTCTGTGTCAGAATTTAAGGTCACAGCAAAATGAACACACTGCTACATAATTCACTGCAGGGGTTCACTGCCCTCTGTGCTAAAACACTTGCCTTCCTTCTGGTCTGACACAATCCTTGCATGTTTTGTGTGCCCACTCAGGCAGATGAATGCTCTTATCTTGTCCACGGTGGTAGGGATACATTAGACAATCATATGAGGGCAGTTCATCTTCTGTGCCTGTGTGTCCCTATACATAGAAACTGCACAGTCAGGTTGTACTCATACGAGTTAGTTCTTGCTTCAAAGCATACCTGCATTGCATACCTGGAGACTTCAGGCTATCTCTGCTACTGATCGAGCAACCTCCCAGACTAGGCTACAGCACTGTAGGACACTGACAAATGAAGCATTTTTCATTTCAAAATCACCGGGCATAAGCTAAGCATATACTAAGCACAGTACTTGAAACTTTTCAGTCAGATAATAGCCTTTGCCTTATTTTTAAGGGAAATAACATATCAGGTGATTACCCAGAGCAACAAATTACGAGGGGCAGCAACAGCTGTTGTGCTGGAGCCCTGCAGGACTGCTGCTGAGATTGGGGTCGTGGTGTGAGATGAGGAAAACAGAGAGAGCACATGTGAGTCCACAGAGCCATGATCTCAGCTTTCAGGGTGCAGCTCCTGCTATAAACAGTTGTATTGCCCACTAGATATAACTGATTTACAGAAAAAAAAAGTCACATTATTTAAAATGGGCAAGTAAAATTTCCATACAGTCACATTCCTGGAGGTTGTTGAATTACATGTGAGTCAAAGTGCATATCTCTAACATTGCTATACATGTATCACTTGTTGCTTTTCACTGTTGTCATCTTTCATTGCTCTACAACCTTTCCCCTGCAGTCTGTTACTTCTTGAACTGCAAGATAGTATTTGGTTTCAAAGCAAATTCAGTAGATGGTGACGCTGCAGCAAGACATGATATCAGAATATGAGGTGAATGCAGTTGGGATAGATTATTCCCATAACAAGACTTGGCACTCAGCTGCCTGTGACTATTATAGGTGAATACCTTTGTCAAAAATTAACCACAATCACTTAGACAAGGAGAGCTGTTGTCCACACCTGCTTGATTCATTCCTTGTCTGACATTGAGTAGCTTGACTGCTATCAGAATAACATAACTTTGAGTGTATCCTTTAAACCCATCCCTCTTATTAACACATTTATCCCTCTTATTAACACACAGCAATTGCAAGTCAGGACTGACATATATGTAATGTTTTCCTAATTTCTTACAGTACTGGTTGTCTAATTGGAATCACTGCCTTCAAAATTACATTCTCTTCTTGCATTCTTATTAATGAAAGAAAAAAATACTTACATTCTTCATAGCCACCATAATAAGCAACTCTCCTTTCGCTCCTGCCTCTCCTAGAAAACAGGCAAGTCTTTCCCTCCTCCACTTTTATAATCACTTTTGGCCAACCATCCTGCTTGTTAGGGACAGCGGTGCTCCTGCTGTTCAGTATGGATGCTCTTCATTTCTCTGACAATGACAAAGACAAAAAAAAAAAAGGTATCCTAATAAAAGACAACTGCACTGGTTTGATGGTACTACTAAACGCATTGCTATGGCTCTGGGTAACTCAGCAGTTTCGCTTGGTCATACAGAAAGCTCCTTCTCAGTCAGAAACCTCTCCATCCATGCCCTGTGAAGCATAAAGGAACTTTGATATAGAGAAGATTGTCACAGATCCAACTCCTTGGGCAGTTTATGAAAGAGAAGTGAATGAGAAATAAGTGCTTGTTGGAGTTTATCATCAGGAAGGATTACACATGCAATATTGGTTGTGATCCAGTTAACTGAAGTGCTTCCATTACAGTTGCAAGGATCAAGCCTTTGGGGCTTCAGTCTGGGACAGGAAGAAACACAGTCAGAAAGGCATGGAAAAAGAAATAGCTCCTTTCTTTCTTTTCAGGCTGTCCAAAACAGCAGCCGTTTTTATTTTGCTGTTCTACTGAGCCACAGAAACAGCCTTAGTGAATCTCTATACCTCAGTGTAATTTACAAACCAAACTTAACACCACAACCAACAAACGAGTCCTTCATATGCTTCCAGTAACACTGGAAGTAGTCCCAGAGCAACCACCAGCTCCAAACAGCCCCAAAGCCGTGGCAGAACTGGAATCAGCATGTAAATTTAGCAGCCACGAGCTGCCTGCAGTGGTTCAGGTTATGAAAGGAAAAGGCAGACTTTCTGATCTGTGGAGCCAGGAGGCAGAACAACTCAGGCCCAGTGCAGGATTTCACATTGCGCCCCATCCTTTAAAAGGACCCTCAGGAATTTTGGAAAGCAGGGGATTTGCAGATGATGTCCAGGCTTACTGAAATGATCCTGGGGGCAAGCAAGAAGAAAGTTGGTGGCACACATGGGTTCAAAATCTGTTACAGTATGTGATACCTTCTAGAGTATCATGTGTATTGGCCTTCCCGTAATGTAACAAGCCAGTGATACACAGAACATTATAACAGCATTTAATTACTAACCTATAGCACCACATCCCCAGTGAATTGTCAATTTTATATTCACATTTCCTATACAGCAGCTCTTCCTACTACTCATGTTAGCCCCATCAGTCACAAAATCACACATGTACTTAGAAAGTCCATAACAGCTATGAGAATTCAACGAGACAAAGCCAGCTATGAACACTGAAGTTCACATTTTATCTGCTTTTAGAAAGGCCAAAGGCTCTGCTGCTGTCATGCTGTCTTAGAGGTCTGACTTCTGGAAATGCCTGGGAGTGCTGGCACAGCCCCTGCACTGACACTCAGCAGTCTGTGTCTCTGAGAGGGAACACTGGCATAGGAGGGAACATTGGCATAGGAGGGAACATTGGCATAGGAGGGCTACTCTGGGAAATAAAACCAAGTCTGCACACTCCCCACTGCTACCTTCTCTTTTCATTCTACTTTAATTTCATAGCAGTTAAGGACTTTTCTTCACTTATCTGCACTGCGGGAATGAGTACTGTTATAAGTGTTAGGAAGGCACTCAGCCCTGTAAAACATATTCATTCTTCTATTACAGTGCACGGCACGCAGATAATAGATGGATTGACAGAGCTCTCTCTTTGGGTTTTACTTGATATTCCATAACATTTTCATCTGGCAAACAAGAACTTGGCCATTAGCAGTACCTGCTGTAAATCAGCCAGCAATCTACTGCTCACAAGAGACAAATGGTGTGGTCATCAGTGGAACAAATACAGGACAAAGATGAACTCGTAAAACGCAATGCTTAAGGTGTGGGGTGGTCTCCTTGCTCACAACAATATCAGTAAAAAATCCTGGAAGGTCCCCCCTACCCAAAACAGATGATGCCTTGCAGCCTGCGGACAGCTAGGATATTCCCTTCTCATGTTTTGCTCTGTTTTGTTTGCAGGTCTCCAGCTCTCATTCAGATAAAGCTGATGGCATTGTGGACACTACCTGCCTGCTGCTGTTCTGCTGCTGGTCCACCCTCTCAGGTGCTCTAGACGAGATCTGAAAGCCATGGATGGGCATAGAGGAGAAGCTGCTGGTGGGTTCCAGCAGGGTATTTCTCAGACATTTTCAGTCTCTGAAGGTGAGGAAGAGTCACAAGGTGCTGACTCAGCGACCCACGAGAGGGACTCTCACACACACTACATTGCCATTCAAAGAAATTCCAAGTACTATCGCTCCATGAGGCTGCCAAAAAGATCAAAGAGAAAGACTGCAAGAGAGGCAACACATGCAGGACGTGCTGCAGGTGAGTACTGACCCAAACAACATTGAGCTTCCTTTTTCCATTGAGATTAAGAACTGTAGGAGTCAATGAGGTTAGGAAAGCAATAGAGAAAATAGAGAGCAGATTCAGTGCTCAGCACACTACAGAACACCCCACTCCACGGCACGGCATGGGGTGCCATCTTTGTTCAGACTGGAAATGCAAACTGGTTGGTTGTTAAGACATGGGGAAGAATCTAAAGAAGTCTGTGACTCTGCTCTGCCAGCCTTCCACTAAGAGAGTTAGAATTTAAACATGGAAAAAAAGCTGTCAAAAAAAGTAGGAACTTCTTTAGAACACAGAAAGGATATATTGAAAAAGTGGAATCTACACAAGTAATGGTATGGTAAGCTGAATGCCATGTGGAGTAAATAGCCAGCAAAGCAAAACAGTACACCTGGGGACCAAGCCTATGGAAATTGCAATGAAGGGAGCAAGATTTCTCTGGAACGTGCTGCCACCTCTCACTGAAGATAGCTCTGCGCAACACTTACGAGCTCTTTGGATCTGGAGGCTGAAATAGGAGAAATACTGCCCAGAACGTGTGTGCACTAAGGCACGGCTTGAGTATAGCAGTATGAACAAGTTGGCCAAAAGGCTTCTGAGGGAACAACGTGGGGCTGCATCAGCTGAGGGCCAGGGAAGATTAGGGAAAGGCTCTGTCCCTGAGGGTGGTGGGCATGAACCAGCTCCAGGGCAGTGGGCACAGCCCCAGTGCTGCAGCTCAGGGAGTGCTGGGACACCACTCTGGGACATAGGGCTTGGACTGTGGGCTGGCCCAGCATAGAATCACGAGTTGGACTCAGTGACGCTTGTGGGTTCCTTCCAACTCGGGATGCTCTGTGGTTCTGTGAACAGTGCAGAGCATGGCTGCAAGGCGAGACGTTCACTGAGCTGGCATGTTGTCTGAGCAGCTGTGAGAGAAAGTTATGAGAAGCTGAAAAGAGAGCCAGGAAAGGAGCTATCTCAACACATTCAGAAGTGCTGGAAACAGGGCTGCAAGCAAAAGCTTAGAACAGTTGTAATTCAGACACTAGGTGAGAGAGACCTGGAACTGTGAATACAGAACGTGCACTCTGCTAAGTCAGCCAGGTGTTCAGAGAAACTGAATTTTATAGCTTCTTGTAAAAAGAACAGATTGCAGTGAAGATACCTATTCCATTTTGAGATTATAAACTTATAAGCAATCCATTGGACTCTGAACTTTGGCTAACTGCATGAGTTAAAATGATGTAACAATATTTCTGACTTTTGAGTTCTATGCAAGACATCAAGGACTATTACTTTGTTATGCAGTAGTAAAGCACATCAGTTCAGCCCCTGAAAACAAACAAAATTCTCTAAGAAAACAAAGAATGGAAATCCTGCACCTCAAAATAAAGGAGGCCTGGGAAACGTCCCCAAGAAAATAGGTGTCTCCTGCCTGCCTTGCCAAGGGAGCCGTGCTATTTCAGCAGTATAAAGGCCCATTCAACTCTGTGGCAAGGACAGAAGGAAAGTTCCAGCCCTTCTCCGAGTTTCCAAGCAGACAGCAGCAGAACAGAGAGCTGCTTAATATTCTGCTACTGTTGTCAATGAGGTTTGTGGATAAACCGAGCGCTGCCAATGCCAGAGCAGACCTGCTCTCCACCCTGCCAGTGCAGCAGCAGGACCGGAGCAGAGCCGTCCTCTCACTGCTTCCCCAGAGCGCTGCTGCAAAGCAAGCTGAGAGGAGCCTCGCCCTCCCTCCGGATCTCCAGCATCTCAGCATCCAGACTGCTGCTGAGGAGGCCCCTGCCCTGTCAGCTGCAGCAGGACCAGCGCACAAGGACATGGCTTCTTCATACGTCTGCAGCATCACAGCATCAGGACAGCAGCACAGGAGGACGTGCCTCCTGTCTAGCCAGTGTCATTGAGGAAGGACAAACTAAAAGGCTAATCTTCTCTTAGCAGCTCGTTAGAGCATCCACAGGAGCTGACCTGCGTTTCTCTCCCACATATTCCCTTCCTGTGTTACATCTGTGGCTTTTTCTTCCATATCTACAATTGTTCAGCAAGACACACTGGAAACGTTTCTTTTCTCGAGTTTGTACAGCAGAACTTGGGCTATGAGCTATAGATCTTTCTCCAGTATGAAAGTAGCAAGTCCAGCTTTTAAACTCAGCTAGGATTGTGTAAGCAGCCTTCTCCCTCTGCTCCATTGACTCCATCCCCTCTCCCAGAAACTGGACAGCGGGGGCTTTTACAGCAGCCTCACTTGTAGCAGGAACAACTTCTGACAGCACTTGCTGACGTGCATGGAAACAAGGGATGGGTGAGCTGTTTTATCTTGACTTCAAACCCATTTGAGCAGCAGCTATCCATGAGCCTGACTTGATCTCAAATGCTAACCTGTTCTCATTTTACTTAGGAAATGAGGGGAGGAGAGGGGAAGGAAAGAAGAAGGGAAGAGAGGGTAAAGTACAGGGGAAAGTGCAGGGTAGGATACCAAACAGGAGAAATAAAGACCCAAGAAATGAGAACAAGAAAAATAATCTAAAAGCATATAAATCCAGCAGAGAGAAAGGCTTTTATATAGGCTCCCTTTGCAACAGTCTAGCTTTGGCTTATAGCCTAGGAGTTGTAAAATATAATAGATTCTTTCCTTTAAATGGAAAATGAGCTTGTGTTTTTTTAAGCAATCTCCTCTGACAGGAGGCTGAAACGTTTTACATATCCAAGAGGCAAAGAGAAAACCGAAGCTAGCATTTTGTAAGCCTCTGGCACTGTTTGAAGCAGCTAAAGAGTCTGTATTTCACCCTTTCCATCTGAAAATCCATAGCACTGATTAAACGGGTGGGGCAGAAACCAGCTTTGGTTAGTGTTGACCTGACTGTGCTGTCACCAGTTTGAAATGCAAACAGAATTATGACTTAGACCAAAATATTTCTAAAATAAAAAAAAAAAAAAAAAAAAAAAAGCCCCAACAAGGCCATTTATCAGCAGGCCTCGAACAACAGGAGGTTTCATTTGAAAAGTGAGATGCACCGTCTCCTGCCAAGTACTGCAGTAATAAGCCACAGACTTAACACAACTTTGGCTCCCTGTGAAAGGGCTGGAGGTTCATCTGAGGAAAAGTAGAGAAGCAAATAAAAGTAAAGCTCCTGTCTCACCCAAATCTAGCCTTGATTTATCCAGTAAACTGAACAGCTACAGCTGAAAGCAGAGCAGTAATGAAGCCCTGACTCAAGAAACGAATATTAGCAAGAACTGGCACACATAGCTAAGGCTTTGTTCCTTAAAGAATTGCACTGAAAATGCTGGGGCCCAATGTTCACTGGTCAGAGAGCCACTTGGAGATGTAAGAACTGATACAGCACATGTACTTTCACCTTTCCTTGCTTGCAATTTGCAGCTGCACCAAAAGTTGTGCAACCATGCAGTACACAAGCTGTTGACATTTAAGTCTGGCTTGAAAAGCCAAATTAAAATGTAGCATTGTGCCTGTAGTCTTCCTATTGCTTTTGATAAAAGAAAACCACTATCTATAGTACCAGTGAAGATGACCCTTAAGAAGCAACTACTTTAACACGCTCTGGGCTTTCTCTTATGTCACAGGTTCACTCAAAAACAATGAGTCTGTCAAAGAGCCCCTGAACGTTTTACCTCCTAAGGGATCACCAGCTCCAGTAGACTCTAACAAGACAACTTTAGAAGAACTATTGATTCAAAGGTAAGGAATGTGTGCTCAGGGCATTCACAGCACTTCTACTGAAGAATACAGAGTGGTGTCAGAACAAAAATGCTTACTTATGAAGACCAGTTGGGCTAAGCTGTAGCAACCAACCCCTGCTTTCTCACTTGGCTTGTAGTTTTGAGTTTTGTTGTTATCTCATGTAGTATTAGAGCTGTGGTGTGGAGGTTCTTAATGGTTCTTAACTTTTTTGGAGAAAAAAGTGAATGAGCAGTGGGGGGAGGGTAATAGGAAGAGAGTGGGAAAAATGCAAAAAGGAGAATGTGACGTGGGATCACCCAGTGGCATAAGCAAGGAGGCAGTGCTACCTTAAGAAACTTGGTGAGAGAATAAGACCACCCTGCAGGCACTGTCTGATGGAATACCCCAATACAAGGATGGTCCCATTCCCAGTGTTCCCACAGGGCTCTCCTGAATGTTGGTATACAATCTCATGCAGAAGACGGGTTCTCGTATCCGAAGAAATAGCTACAAAAATGTTTCCTGAGGCATTTTGATTTTGTATTTGCCGTTTACTTTCAAGAATCAATACCCAGTAGGGGTCTTCAGTGAGGTGGTCTTTTCTGTTCAAAATCCCTCAACAAAAAGGGAAAAGCGAAAGGCCCTGATTCCATCATCAGTATAGTGCAGGGCCAGGGGAGCCTCATGGGCTCCATGCCAAAGGTGAACCCCAAGCAGGTCCAAACAACTGATAAATACATGCATGATTTGCATACAGAGTGGCAATCTCATCTGCATCCTAGAAGTGCTATATTTCAAGGGGCAGACAAAAAGTTTACCTGCGTCCTTGGTCTCTTAGCTCTGCAGCTAAGCTTCTGAGCCTTGCATCTTCTATTACACAGCTGAGGTATTCTCCCCAGGTCACTCTCTGTCTCCTCATCATTGGCATGCGTAATCACAAGGTGGTCACTACCTGTGCCAGAAGATCAAGTTGACAGCACTAACACTTGCCCTCTAAAGGTGCATGCATTATACTGCATGGTGTGGTCTTAATTACTGAGCCAAGCTATATTGGCACAGCACATAGCGTACATTTCCTAATCCAGACAACAACATTGAAAAAATTTAGCCAAACTGTCAAGTTGGATTTAAATAAATTAATTGCCCTGGCTGAAATGGATTGCCCTTGGCACTAAACTGAGCATAAGCAGCTAGACAGTTGCAGTCTGCTGAGATGTCATAGCCATCTGTCTTCCTCTCCTTGCGGCATAATCATCACTGTCAGTCTCTGACATCCTGACACTGCCTCTTAGGCAGCTTTGAAACATGCAGAAGCTGATTCTCCCTGGAGCTGGAAACAATGAGCCTGTGCTGGGAGTCAGTCTTTATCAAAGGTGCTGCTGTGCACAGTGCTTGACAGGTCAGTGCAAGTTCTAAGTCACGCGTCTGCTAAAAGCAGGCAGTGCTGCTGAGTGGCATTGCACTGAAAGCAAGGAAAGAAATCTGACAGAGAACGAGACCAGAGTTCTGGCTCAAACTGAGCTCATGTCCTCCTCCTCCTTTCTCTAAAAGATCTGCTGCAATTTGTAAGAGAACCAGCAGAAATTTGCATTGTGAAAAACCTGCAGGATTCTAAGGGCATTGCCATCATTTGCAATAATCACCATCCTCCTCCTCCTCCAGGAGAAAACAGGCCATGGTGCAGAAGAGACAACCAAAATGTTATCAGTGATCTCAAAAAAATGCATTTAGTCTCCCTCTGAAAGGAAAAGAACCTAGTATCTCTCCATGAAGAGTTCTGAAAGCAGAAGATTGTTCTGCAGAAAGGAGAGTAGGAGTACTTCTGACCAGAACATAAGTCTCTCAGGAGTGAATCACCATGGTCCTGAGTGCAGGTGGGACATCAGTGCTACATCTCTTCACACTCAATGCTGTTTTGACAGCACTCTATAAGTGCTAGGGCTAGGCAGGCTCAATTCCTTCTCCTTGCATGGAAATGCCAACGCAAACATGTTTGCAGGTAGGGATGTCACTTCACATATATCCATGCAACAGAATTTGGGGCAGGGAGTAACCACAACTGGGAAACATAGCAATAGAGAAATGAACATCTCTCTAAAGTGAATTCAGATGGGGTATGGATTTTAATACTCTGAATAAGTAGCAGCACTACAGACTCCTTCAAACCCACCAGTGATTTGAGTCTACATGTCATCCCAAGTCTACCCTACACCCTCCAGAAAGCACTTATTTAGAGCACTTTTATGCCTAACTAGTCTCAAATTATTTTTTCCTTATGACCTTTCTCCCTGTGACCTCCAGCTCCCCCAAAGCACTCTGGAGTTCCCCACAGCATCCTGTGGCTCCCTCCCAATCTGCCACATGGTACAAGTATCCAAACCTCCCACATGATGATCCTCTTCCCAGCTATTTGGTTAATTTCTCCAGCACATCTCAGTGCTGAGCTTCTAGCACAACTTCTGTTCATCAGGATAACCACAGCCAAAGACCTGGAAGGAACTAAACTCACAAGAAAGCTTCCCTTTCATACTGCCATCAGTCTTTCCAGCTTCACAGTGGCAGCAATTGTGCAGATTGAGATCACAGAAAACCACCGCTGAAAAACACCCACCCAGGGAGTCCATCCATAACTGTCAGCCTCAGCTGAAAGCAGCTACCACAGAGAGCAGAAAATTAGTCATTTCAAACCCCAGAAATGAGATCCACCAATCAGTATCTACCCTATATTATCAGCTAATAGGATGTTGACTGCTCTTCATTTCTAATACAATACAGATGTTTTATCAGCACGAGCGTGCTATTGACCTACCATTTCCCACTGAGTCAGATGCCAGCAATGATACATATTCATTGGGGCCACTAGATACAGTGGAGAAGAAACTCAGTGTGAAATCTCATGTCACAAAGCTCGCTGCAAGGTCATTCATTTAACACTTCAGAGAAATCTATTTTCTTTTATGAAACCTCCAGTGCGGAGAAAAAAAGAAAAGAAAAAGTCATCTAAAGCAGTGGATTAGGTTTGATCTGAGTTAATAGAATGGAAGCACTGCAACAGCAAATACAGCCACCTTCAGCAGAGAGGGGGAATCTAAGAGATACACATTTGCAAATGGATATCAGAGAGAAACAACTCTATGTAAAACAGTGTCGCACTGAAGGGTTGTGTGAATGTGGGTTAGCTTCCCACAGCACAGCACTGTTTGTCCTGGGCAGCAGAGGGCACTGCTTATATAGCCTGATTTAACCAGGAAAGAGGGAAAGGCCTCCAGAGAGGCTGAGGCCCGCATTGCAAGAGGTTGTACTCGAGTTTCCTTCTAATTATGAAATGAATTTCTTATAGTCACCTCTTTATGCGTTGAGCAAATCTTTGTCACCCCATAACTTTAATTTTTTGCTTTTTAGAGAAAGGTAATTCTTTCCACACCCTTCTTTCTCTACAATCACAAACAGCCTAAGAGCAACAGCATTTGCAGGGGAGGGGGTGGGTTGGGGTAGAAGGTTCTAAAAATAATCATTTTTGTCTATATTTTAGACACTAAATGTTATTAGTGCTAAAATCTCAGATTTCACAGAACCATAGCATTTACAATCCTACTTAGGTATGCTGCCAGCCTGCAGCCAATGGAGAACCTAATCCCAGTTTGCCTACCTATTCCATGCAGTCTCTGTTCCTCAGCTCCTTCAGCCAAGCCATGGTTTCATCACACAGCATTCAGGCTCTGCTCTCCAGCTCTCCCAGCAGTTCTTTTAAGCATACCCTGATCCTCAACCAACCCCAACTTGTGATTCTCCACCCAATCTCCTCAGGCTAATGTTTCCCAGATGTTTTACTCCCTTCTCTTCCCCTCTGCAGCCCACATCTCTGTGTCCTGACATTCCCCAGGCCCATCACTCTTTCGCTCTGCATACAATCTTAGTCTCCCATCCTCACGCCTGCATTCTGCCCTCTCCAACTCACCACTTCCTGAAGCATCCAGCTGTGGGCAGTTCCTCTCTTCGTAGCAGACTCTTGGTCCAGAAGCAGACTGTTCCCTCTCCATGCTTGGGTCCTCTTCCCTCTGGTTTTCAGCCAAACAGTTGTCTCGTTGTGCTGCTCAGACCCAGCACGAGGAGCACTGAGGGTACAGGAGAAGCAGCCTTTATTTGTAGTGCCTAGAACTGCACCAGGCCATTTCTACTGCTGCAGAATCAGAAATGTTTGTCTCAGCCCTGGACAGGGCACCTGTTCTCTCCATGGGCAGCAGCTCAGGGAATTTTAGATGCTAAAATCCAAATCTCCAGTTCGTGTGTATTGGATAGAGTGCAAAATAGCCTGTAATCCCTATGGATTTTCACAGTTCAGACAAAGATAAAGCCCTGGAAAAGCCCAAATTTCAACCCACATTTCAAGAGAAGCCAAAGCTTCTCAGAGGATAAAAAGACAGGATTTCTGTTTTCTTTTAACAGCATCAAATTATATCTTCCTTAACCTAAGAAGCTGTTGAGCCCCTTTTTTAAAAGAAAGTAGCAGCAGCCTATGGCAGATGGTCAGCAAGTAAGGAGTCCTAGTGATTCTGAGCATCAAAAGGTTATAGGCAGGTAAAGATCTCATCATAGGAAGTTCTGAACATTTTTAGTCGTCAGTAAGACTGCCAGCCCCAACAGATTTAATTAAGGTATTTTGGTGAAAGCTTAAGGAGGCTCAGGAGAACAGATGTGCCCTTGGCCTTTATAATCTAAAAATATTAGGGATGAGGAGTTCCACTTATCTCTCTGTCAAAAAAAAAAAAAAAAAAGGAATAAAAATGGCATTTTTGCAATTTGTTGTCAAAAGCACTACTAAAAAACCACACGTGAGCAGAAAGAAAATCTGAATGAACCTGAAGTATGAAAATACATTTTACTAGGTATAACGTTATTTGAATCTATTAATAACTTCACACTTCTCTGCGGATTTGGTTAGCTCAGATTAAAACAGAGCTTCTTACTTCATCTCGTGGCCTTTCTTGGTGTGAAACTCCCACTGCCTCAAGGGTTTGGGGAATGTTTCATGAATAAGACATGCTGGGTCGCATCTTCTCATTTTTAGTTCCTGAGAGTTGAGTTCTAAAAACTGCTGTAAGACAACAAAAACAAAATCCTGCATTTCAGTGTTGTTGGAAAACCAACTCCTTGCACAGCTTTATTCTAAGGACTGCTTTTGAATTCAGACAAACATAAGAACATTGGAAAGGTTGATTTGCAGCTGACCACGCAGGCCAAGCCTGGAACTTCGTCCCCCAGCCATAGCTTAAGTAATTATATGAATTTGATAAGACAAACTAATTACAAGCTCACACTAATTATCAGGCTTTTAATGCAGCAATGGACAAGATCAGCCTGCACTTGAAGCTCAGAACTACCAAATCCCCCTTCTTCCTTTGCACAACGAATGCAAGCCCAAACTCACTCTCCTTCACCAACCATGGTCATGATTCACAGCACCAGAGCATGACCAACATTATGAGGCCACAAGGACAATTTCCAGTGCTCGTGTGCTTTGGGAACCTAGGAATTCCTGAGAGAATTCATTGTTCATATAGTGAGACAGACAAAAAAAAAAAACCTCTTCCAAAGTGCTACCCGGATGGCTGAGATCAGGAGGAGAGGGCACTTCTGCCTGAGCCTGCAGTTCCATGGCAGTGGAAGAAGATCCAAGGTGGCACTGCCTTGGTCCTGCCATCCATCTGTGTGTCTGCCACCTCTGCAGTGCTGGCACTCAGCAAGCTGACCCTGTGGTGAGACAGTTCAACGGTCAAACAGACACAAAGCTAGTTCTAAAAAATAATCACGTGTTTTTCTACTAGTTTAGATGCCCAGATCAGCTCACCAAGAGAGGAGCAGCTCCAGGAGCAGAGCTGGGCCCAGCCTGTGAAGGAATGGCTCTCACTTGGAAGCTCCAATGGGCTGCAGTGAATCATTTGTTTGCCTTCCTTCATTCTTCACGACAAATTTGGAAAGCTTTAGAAAACCTCAGTTATTTTGCAGGACAAAAATACTTCTCACTAATCTTTTTTAGTCCAGCCTCAGAGCGCTGGGAGCACTCTGTCACCTCACTTGCGAGAGCAAGCATTTCTCTGCACAGCAACACGGAGCGGTGGGGCTGTGGTATAAAGAAAGAGCAAGACTTCAGAAAACCCAAGCTACAATTACAAGGGAAAAGTTCTAAAGGAAGGGAAAGGAGGCGATTAGTTGCTGCCACACGGAGGAATAGATTTCTGATGGAAAAAGGGAAGCTGTGGCTTCTCATGGCCAGGGGGGGCATTTCACTCCTGGCTGTGTTCTCACCTCATCACAGCTTCCAGCGTTCTTATTGTCATTATTACTTTAGCAACGTTTTCCAGGCGGGATCCTTAGAAGGGATCTTTAGGAGGGATCCTTAAAAGAGATCCTTAGAAGGCACTTTCTGTTTTCTAACGTTTCTCATGCCATTACCCAGACGCTTTTTTCATTCCAAACTGCAGTGGATTTAACCCCTGAGAGGGAAGCAGTACGAGGAGGTGCAATTTGTTAACCTCTCAATGCATGTTGCTGAGACTTTTTTTTTTTAGTAGATACATCCCAAATTCGTCCCAGGACATGTATTCGTTCCAGCAGTGTAGCATTAGTGAGCACCTGCACTGGCTTCCCATTGCATACTAGAGAACTCCTCGCTGCTCTCGGTCCTTCTTTAGCAAACAGCATCCCTATATTTCCAAAATTCAGCATAACAAAGGTGATTGGTGCAATTAATGTCCTGCCTACCCTTGACTAAGAAAGGAGCTTTCAGCATGCCACTCACTTCCCGAAACCCCTGACCATGTTCCCTGGCAGCAAGATCCCAAAACAGCAATCATTAGCCAGAGCTTCAGGCTCTCTCTGACAAGACCCCGATTTTTCCATCAGTTGTGCGGTTCCTCTGACCTCCCAGCCCAGGATTGGGCTGATGGTTTTATCTGAGCCTGGGCTCCCCCCACAGACACTTCTGCCTCCTTAATGACCCAAGGACTGAGTGCTTCCAGCACACCAGATCTAGTTCTCACGAGCTGAGGGAGGTTTTTTTCCTAAAGGTACAGTCACGTGCTGGCTAGATACATCACTTAGTAAACACAATATAAAAATGATAAAAAGGAAACCATCTCTCATATACAGCCCGACAAAGGGATTTTATGCCGTCGCATAAACTGCAGTTCTGCTTACAGAATAAAGCATGGCTATATATGCAATGGGGAGAAAGTGAGCACGGGAGGCATAGCTGAGCGTTTTCTGACGGTTAACTCAGTTGCAGTGTGGTGCAGATGACGTTTTTGCTGGGGGGTTACTAAGGTGGAGGGCAGAGCTGCACTCAAGCTGTCCGCAAGCACTGCGAGCAACCCAGGGTGCAGCCGTGCTTCGGAGCTCCAGAGGATTTATCCCCGAGGCGGAGAAACAATTACCTGAACGGAGAGATAGAGCTCGTTACTGAGATACTGCCTAAATGAGAAAACATATCCTTATGGAAATAGCGACGCTAAGATGCGGGGAATGACTGGGGGGATGCAAAGCCAGCCGGAGGAAACAAGCAGGGCAGGAGGCAAAGCAGGGAGGCAGCTTGGCAGCAGGGCTTAGGCTGAGCCTCCACGTTACATCCCTCCATAGCGGGGTGTCACTCCCAGAGAAGAAATGCACCATCCGCTTCAGATCTGGAAGCGGTTCAGGAAAGCTCCCCTCTCCCACCCCCTATCCTCCCTCCGAGCCGGCGCCGGTCGCACATAGGCACAGACGGCTTCAGGGAGGTGAGAGGTCAGCGGCAGGCAGGGCTCCACGGGGTGGGCGCAGGGTGGGCTGCGGTGCGTGGGTGCTGCGCGGGAGGCTGCTTGCTGGGAGCGAGGGGATGGAGAGGGGGCATTCCCGCGTTTGAGGAAGGAGCCTCTCTGCGGGAAAGCAGGGGATGGAGGTAGGGGTGCCTGCAGAGCCCTCGGGGCAGGGACTGCCACTGGGGGGGCCCTTGGGGAGGAGGCAGTCAGCCTCCCGGCGGAGGAGGGACCTGCGCCGGAGCGGAGCCGGCGGGGCGGGAGGGCGAGGAGGTCTCTGCGGGCAAAAGGTGGTGGGAGGCCGGGGGTACGGCACGGCGGGGCTGCGGGGGTAAAAGGGGAGAACGGGAGGGGTCTGTGGGGGGCTTTGGAGGGATTTTGGAGGCTCTCAGAGGTTCTTCGTGGGGGGCTCCGAAAGTCGTGTAGGGGATCTGAGGGGGGAGGCTGGGAGGGGCCGCAGGGGCTCTGAGGGTCCCTGCGGGGGTGACGGGGGGTTTGGCGGCGCTGAGCGGAGCTCGAGGGGGGTTCGGGAACGCAAAGAGCGGCCGCGACGGGCAGGCGGTGCTCGGAAGGTGCTGGTAGGAGCCGGTAGGGAGGGATCTGAGAGGGCTCTGTGAGGAGAACCCGCGGGGAGCCCGAGGGGCTCCGAGCAGATTTTGGAGAGCGCGGCCCCGCAGACAGCTTTGGGGGGGAGGGTCTGAGGGATTCGGGGGAAGAGAGCCCCGGGGACGGCTGAGGGGGGTCCGAGGAGAGGCTCCGAGGGGCCGGGGGAGGCTGTGAGGGTTCTGGGGGCTTTGGGGGCGGCCTCAGCTCCCCTCTCCTTCCCACGCAGGCTGCTGCCTTCCTACCCCCGTTACCGTGGCAACCTCCCGGGCTCCCCCAGCCCCGCGCCGCCGCCGCTACCGCCGGAGCTGCTCGGCAGCCGCCTGCCGCCGCCGGCCATGGAACTGCTGGCCGCGGCGCTCAGCGCCGCCTGCGCCCTCGACCAGGACGGCTCTGCGGGACAGCCCGGCAGGTGAGAGAGGGACGGACGGGGAGGGGACGGGAGAGCGGGGGGTCCGCGCCCGGGGCTGAGGGGCCGCCCCGCGCCGCCGCCCCGCCTGAAGCTGCTTCGCTTCGCGCAGGAATCCCCCCGCGGCCGCCGAGGACAGCCCCATCGCCGCCGAGGCGTCGCCGCCCGCCCACCCCATGACGGCCGACTCGTGGAGGAACCTCATCGAGCACATTGGTAAGCGGTCGGCCCGCCCGAACCGTCCGAGCTGCGAGCGGAACCGCGCGGAGCGATCCCGGCGCAGCGCTGAGCCCGGCGGAGTGCCGGGACGGCGTCGGGCCGAGGTGCGCGAGCCCCGATCGCCGTCTCTGCTGGGAAACCTCCGCCGTCGGCTTTAGGAACGGAGCTGTGCCTTCAGCAGCGCCCTTACACCGTCACTTGGTGCCTCGCGCTGCCCCGCAGGTGTCAGGACGCTGTTGCTCCGTTCCTCAAACTGAGATCGCTTTTGGTAATTACGAGGCAGTCGATCGTTAGGGCGACAGCGAACTTCCTGCAAAAATCTGATTCTGCACGCTCGGAAAGGCGTCAGACCGCGCTACTGAGCGAGCGGCCGTGCGGCATGACGGAGCGGAGCGGCACACGCTGCCCGCCGTCCCTCGGCAGAGCCGTCATTTCTGCCGTGCGGAGGGAGAGCCGGGGTTATGTGAGAGGCTGCGGAGGGGAGGATGGCTCGTTTCATCTCGGGAAGTGGCCGTGCGAGACACTGGAACCTGTAGGGCTGTCTGACTGAGCAGAGGAGCGCGGAGCTTTTTGAGGAAGGCAGTGATCAATTCTGCACGTTGTTAGATCTGTTACTTTCTCGTGGCTGTGTAGGAACTCTTGTCCCAAGGCAGATTTGCCAGTGTATCTTCAGTTTAAGGGACTGGGCTGCTGAGAGGCGTGACAAAAATACTGAAGCCACCAGGACTTCAAAGCAACCTCGTTGCTCCATTCATGTATATCTTTACATGCTGCCAATTGGAGGATGCTGTGCGATAGCTCTGCATGCATCCATTTAACTGCACACGGGTGTGTAGCATCGTGAAGGAAGGAGGCAGGGTCTGACAGCCAGAGGTGCTACACTAATCTCCAGCAGGCAGGTCATTTCCAATGGCTGCAGCACACTGCTGCCTTTCCTCCCTCCTGCCTTTGAGGCACTAATGGACTTTTTGCCTGAAACTGGAGCAGAGAATTTCAGAAAACGTCTCTGGACCCCCTGAGATTTTTACACAGCTTTCAGTGCAATAACGTTTAGTTTAAGAGCGCTGCAAACTCTCTAAGGCGAGCATTTTCCACAATTAGTAACCAGCGTTTCAATTCCCTTCCCAGTGTTTGAGGGAGCTGGGAAGGGAGGAAAATGAAATAGAGTGAACACAGTGGGAAGGTCTAATAACATGTTTACAAACTATGTAAACACCCCTTGTGCAGAATAGCCTTAACCACTGGAGTCACCAGGCAGCACCAAACCCACACTCTGACCACCTGCTCACCCTTCAGCCAGTGCTAGTGGGGACATTAAGCAATGGATGGAGCTTTTACAGGTCTTTGACATTCCATGCTTGCTCATTTACTAAACATAAGCATTCACTAAATTATCATATACGTTGTGCTTTTTGACTGGTTGCAGCTCTTTGTTTCTTCCCACCCATTTCCTACATAAACATCTGCCTGTGTTTTGTCTTTCTCCTGGTATCACCCTTTTGTTTCTTCCCAGTATTGCTGCTTGTGCTTAAAATGTGTACCTCGGTGGTGTTTCCAAATGAGTTCTGTTGGTGGATGCCTGTGGTCAGTCAGATCTTCCTGTGTCTAAACATTCATTGCCTGCAACTGAAGGCTCCATGGGTCTTCCCTTCTTGCTTGTTCAGTCGAGAGACCTGGAAACAAGGTCAGGTTTCATCATCTGGGTTTTAATTCCTTGCAAACAATGAAAAACAATTGTCACAAGGATTTTTTTATTTAAAGGACTGCTCTCCAGCCCTGTGCAAAGGAGACTGAATCACCCTTACACAAATACAGAATATCCCTGATTGTCTCAGACATGCAGTGCAGAGCCACCAACACAACATGGTTGTGCGACCGGGTATAATTATCTGCAGTAAGAATAGAATAGATTATGCTCCATTTTCTAAGCATGTTTTCCCTTGACAAGCATTTGCTTCTGGCTTTTATTTCCCATGTCCTGCTCCCGTGTGCAGCTCACTGGGGCAGCAAGCACTCCGTGCCCCACTGCGCTCGCAGAGCAGCACGGCCAAACACTGCTCAGATTCAGCAGGCTCTCCATCCCTCAAGGAGCCTTTCCACCCCTCCACACCCTCAGCATCCTCACTGGGGTTGATTAGCAGGCAGAAATGCTTAGGAAAGCCAAATAAGCTTACTTGACGCAGAGAGAAATTATATAAGCAGCAGCAGGATGCAAAACTTCAGAAGTCTCTTCTCTCTGGTTACTGTGTAGGATGGTAAGAGAAGACTGTATGGTTTCCTAGGCACAGCTACCCTTATTGCTATTTTAATCTGGCGCTGAGCATCTTTCCAGGGAGAACAGCTACCAGGATACACCCGCAGGCTGCAGTACTGCTCTCCTTGTGCCTGTGCTTTTCCCCAGCATATTTCTGGAATAGTGTTAACAGCTACTGGAACAGAGCCTTGGGAAAACTGCTCCAGAGATGTATCAGGCAGTGACAGAGACATTTCTGCCCTCCCTAGACAAACTCCTGACCCAGTTGTCTCTCAACGCAAGGGATCTGCTTTTGAGATCCAATATCATGAGTTTGTGTGACCGGGTGGATTTTTATCCCTAATGATTCAGACTAAATAAATTATGTAGGTTTTGCTGTTTTTTTTTTTTTTCTTTTTTACATGAAGGATTTTTATCTTTATTCATTTGTCTTACACTTCTGAGATTCGAGTATAAGCCAAGAGAGATGATGTAAAGTGTTCTCTTCAACTTGAGTAAGTGAGGAGAGTGATTCAGAGTAGGCTTGTGTTCTCCTGCCTTCTCATAGCCTCTAAATTGCACTTCATGTTCAAACAATTAGTACTCTGGGTCCTACAGGTGGCTTAGAGATATGGGAACGTGGAAGTCTTAGAAGAGAGATAGGATTTTCTATAGGCAGCCAAGGAATTTCAGGATTCCTTCAGTGCTGCCTGTTGAAAGGGTGAGCTGGGGCAAGTTCATCTGCTGCTGAAGCTAGCAATGGCAGTGCAGAAGGCACCTCGTGACGTCGGTGTGCAGCAAGGTGTGTGAACTCACGGCCTTTTCTTAGCGCTGTGGCATTCAGGTAACTTTGAGCCTTACATTAAATATCTTCAGTCATCGTAGGAACTGAGGAGGAACAAAGAAGTCGAGCAGCATGTCCAATGCTAACCGCAAAGTCAACACCAAAGCAAACTGGTGATGGTCCCAGTGCTTCACCTATTAAATACTTTAACAACAGCTCACTGTTTTCTCCTTAGGGATTTTCATAGCCATCAAATTGGTCCTTTGAAGCAGTTTCAGCGTATGCAGTGTTATTTCTCCAGACACAAACACACCTTTTGATCTGTACCCCGAGAAAGCCAGCAGGGCAATCCTTTCTTTCCAGCCTCCTGGCTTGTAGCGTAAGAATACTGCAGAGAATATCAAGGTCTTAAAAGAAACATTTAGAAGCTTGGTAAATAACAAAGCATTCTTCTTTCACTCCTCCCACTTGGTCGTGGGTTCACCTGACCGTTAGCACACGGTTTGGGATAGAAGATGGTTAGCAATGTTTCAGATTTAGGCATGGCTTCCACGTGGGGCTTGCACTGCTGGTTGAAGTAGGAGCACCCTGCGTGACTTTTTGTCTCAGAGCAGAGGGCTATCCCTCATTCCTGCTCGGGTGAGCCAGGGCAGCACAGCCCTCCATTCCCACAGTACTCTTCTGTTCTTTTGTTCAGCTGCAGCCTCTCAGACCTGTTGTGTTGCCTCCTAGGGCTCTTGTATCAGGAATATCGAGATAAATCTACGCGCCAGGAGATCGAAACCAGGAGGCTGCAGGATTCACAGACAGACCCTGAGGAGAGTTCACCCAGTGAGGAAACCCCACCTGAGACAGAGCCTGCAAGTACCCCCGAGAGCAAAGCTGCACCACAGTTCAATTTGCTGAGGAGCTCCAACTCCAGGTTCAACTTATGGCAGGACCTGCCGGAGATACGGAGCAGCGGGATCCTCAGCATCCTCCAGCCGGATGAGATCAAGCTGCAGGAGGTAAACTGTGAGAAAGTGGAATGTTTCTTAACTGGGCTGCTGCTTAAAGGAGCTGGAGTGAATTAAATCAAATGATTGAGATTTAAGAACAGTAAGCTTCAGAGCAGTCGCAGACGAGCCTTGTTTTGCTAAGCGTTTTCCTATGACACACTGCTTAGCACCACTCACTTTTTCTTTTAAATTGCAGGATATTATCCTGTATACTGTGTTGTTGATGGACATCTATTTGGCAAAAGAGAACTTATTCTGCTTTTTCTGATTGTGCTAGGAGCCTTTTTCAAGAAAGAGAGCTAGCAAAGAGATTCTTGCCTTAGAGCTTTGGGTCTCCGGTGCACATTAATCCACCAGAAACCTTAGAAGCCTTGAAGAGTTAACTGCAATCTGTTTTAAATATGATGGCATTACTGGAAAGAAAAGTGATGGAGATTTTTAAGCTTCCTGATTCTTAAATGCCGTTACTCAGAGTCTTATGCAAAACAGTAAAAAATGTTGGCAGGAATATTTGCATTTCAGCCATACATTGCACTGACATCACGGCTTGAGAGCTATATGGCGATCATTTGTAGGGCTACATCTAACAAGGAGCTGGTGAGAGTAGCTGCCCCAGTCAGAGAAACCATCAGTCACACAATTTAGAACGGGTTGCTATTTTGGATGGCGTGGGGAGCATAAGTGCTCTTTGTTACACGTTGCTCTGCGTTCGTAGCCAGCAGCAGAGGCAAACAAAACTTGCTCAGTGTGGTGTATGTTGCAGTATGAGCAATGGACCTTCACAGGCCTGATCCTGTGAGCTCTGCTGTGCCAGGATCTCTTCTGGGGAGAGCACCCACCTTTGTGTCTGTTCTGCCCTGGCTCGTGTGGCTGAACCCAAAATGCTGAAGAACATCCCAGGGTGTGACCAGTTCCCCCTGAGCTTGCTTGGATTTGCTTAGTCAAGAATTATGAATCACTTCTGTACACACAGTCCCACCCTGCTCCTGGCCGAAGCTGTGGCTTCCCTGTTGCACTTGGAAAGACTCAGCCCTTGATCCTCAAAGGTGTGATGTGCAGGGCTGTTAGTTACACCCCCAGTGCTTAAACAGGGTAGTTCAGGCTGGCAGAACAGACTGGTGGTGTGATTGGAGTATGGCTGAAGGCAGCTGAAGTGGTTTGTTGCTTTTCCATGGATATTTCCATATCAGATTTGTTCTGTTTACCTGGAAAAACACAGCTCTTGTAACTGCCAGCATTACAAACACAACCTGGCGTCCAAAAAACTACAAGCTCTTCTTTCTGCTTCTAAATAGAGTCATTTACATCAGCTTAAAAGTTTGCATCAGAGATTTCAAAAGATGCCATTGCTTTGGGGTTACGTTCATCACCTATAGGTATTGTATGGAAAAATACCTGTACTGCCAGGCCCAGCACCAAATTTTCTTCTATCTCTTTAAATAACAACAGAAATAAAGCAGATGGAGATGGGACAGTGCCGCCTCATAGAAGTGCTGTGCTTTCCCCTCGTGTCATTTTATCAGGGCTGAAATTTTCTTCCTGTTTGTTCTGGATTAGCACAGTAAGAGATTACAAAACTGCTGCAAGCCAGAAAGCTGTGAAATTGGCTGAACACAGAGCAGATAGAGCGGAGAATTTGCTTTTTGAGGAAAGTCAAGCACAGAAAACAATGAGTGTGGGAGAAATCACTGAGACAATTAAGGAGATTATAGTGAATTCAGCACTGAATTCACAATACAAGAAACCAGCAAGATAACACAACACCAGGTAAAAATCAAGGCATTTGTTTTTCAAGTATCAAAACAAGAACCTGGGCTGAAAGAGCAATGGATGTTTGGAAGTTCTCGTGAAAGGCTCTTTGTCATTGTCCCCATTGCAACAAATGACCCAGAAAATGGAGTTTCAGGGGGGAAAAAACCACCTCCCACCCCCCAGCAGTTTCAGGAGAGAAGATTGCAGCACGGCCCATTAGCCCTGGGAGCTCAAACAGAAGTCAGGCAGTGGTGGCATCGGCCACATCAGCATTTTCATCTGAAGGCAATGTCAGGGGAATGGAACGTGAAAAGAAACAGCTGGAAGTGTCACAAAATGTGGGCGAAAACACAGGAAAAGAAGAAAAAAACAAAGAACAAATGACAGACTGCAGGGGTCAGGGATATACAGCAACTGTGTGCCACTAGAATAATTATGAGAAATGATTAAATCATTCATAGGGGAGCTTTAATTATCCAGACATCTGTTGAGCATCAAACACAGCAAAACATGAATCACCGAGGACCTTCTTTTAACTATATAGAAAATAGAGTGATGCAAAAAGTAGGACAAGCCAAAAGCACTGTGTGGGTTCTGACATGGAGGCAGCGTGGGGAAAAGGACAGGCAACACGTGTGTAGCAGAAGGAACAAATGGCCGAAGAGAGGATGTGCTCCTTGTGTTACATAGAGTGGAGGTTACAGAATATTCCGTCCCAAAGGCTTGGAAAAGGTAGCCATGGGAAGAAGCCTAATTCAGTATCCTTCTAGCACGAGCCTTAGATTGCATGTTGGTACTGCCTGTTTGTGGAGAAGCTCTAATTTACTCCTCCTTCCCACGTCAGATCTCTATCTTTCAGTATGTCCTTGTTTGACTTACTATATAGGTTATTTGTTTTGTCCTCCTCTACTTGCTGTCTGCACTGATTTTCCTACACTCATCCTTTGTGTTGTAGGAGACCCTGAGCTGGGTGGGATTGGCCATAACAGTTTACAGAGTAAAAAACAACAACAGCAAAACCAGAGTAGAATGATATTCTCCATCCCCGAGCTGAACCGTCTGTGCTGAGATGGGCTTTGCTAGATCTTTTTTTGGTGGGGATTGTGGCCGTTTTGGTGTTAGAAGGTCAGGTAGCCAGGCTCATCTGCACCTTCATGGCACAGTGTGGATTTGGATCAGAGAGCAACTGCTGTGAAAATTTTTGCTGAAGCAGAAGAAGGATTTGACCCTTTAGTGTGCAGCAGTGAGGTGCTCTCTCTGTGTAAGAGCATGTTGGATAAGGAGGCAGTCTTTCTCTTTAATTTCTATGCAAATGTCCAGGAAAGTTTTATTTCTTTTCCTTCTTTGAGCAAACTTTAGATTTCAAGCCTCTAAATTTGCTGTGAAACAGAGCTACGCTCCTGAAAGAACTCTTAGGCCTTGCTGCATGTCTAGCAGTTGGAGGAGACATGGCCCCATGAGGACAGGCTTGAGGGCTGGTCACAGCCAATACGATGGCATCAGATCAAAACAAAATCCCTCCTAGGCTAGATCTATTAACTAGTGGTTTACAAGAAGATCAGAGCTGCTGGGAGCAGCTATTTTCAGTCTGTGCAACAAAACACCATTTTGTCACAGCAGAGATTTACCTTGTAGCATTGCTTACTCTTGTCTCTGGTGACTCTGACCTTTTTCTTCTTTTTTATCTTCTGTATTTCCTTCTTCCTTAGGCTTCCTGTTTCCTTTCTTAGTCTCTGCCAAAATAGAAGCAATGAAAACAATTAGTACAGCTTTTATACAACTAGTAGATTTCATGAAGTTAACGACCCAGAGGACTGATGGAACAGTTTTGGTCATGTTTCCAAGAGACAGTTTGAGACTGTGGACTCTAGAGGATAGCATTACATCCGTTGACATCTAGTTCAAATGTTCTCATTATTTCTGCAACTCTGAAGCCAGAAGTTCACGCTGCTTTATCTAGCGAGGGCTCAGGGCCAGCACAGTTCAGTTATTCTGCAGAGATCTCTTCACTATATCACAGTTTAGGAGTTTGTTCCAATATGAGATACAGCAATCTGGGCTGTTTATAGTCAGCATCGGGCTACTTTGGATCTGCAGTGGAGCAGCTGCATCTCCAGAGTAACCTGAGAAACCTGTGCCTGGCAGATGCTGTAGCAGACACTTCCAGAAGCTTGCCTTGATCAGTGGAGATGATCTTTATTTCTCTGGAATCTCCTTTAAATCAGAACCCTGTGAACTGGTAAATCACCATGGATTTCAATGTTTCTTTGGTCCATCTTACACTCTGCATGTGCCCATGCAGGTGTGGTGCTCACATTGTGATGGGCAGCAAACACACACCAATGGGCCTTTCCAGACATGCAAATGGGGGACTTTTGTAGCTGCAGGTCAAGAAGGGAGGTCAGAGATCAGAAGTGTTGTCAGAGGGCTGAAAGGCTGCAGCAGGGAGGCACACCTCGATCCTGGCCCTGGGGAGATTTTGAAGGACCTGCCTATCCCAACTGGCATCCAGTCTGGGGAATAGAAGACTCTGATTTAGATTACATGTTGGAAGGAAATTTTTTCTCTCAGAGGGTGGTGAGGCCCTGGCTCTGCTGCTCACAGAAATGTGGGTGCCCCATCCCTGGAGGTGCTCAGGGCCAGGCTAGATGGGGCCCTGGGCAGCCTGAGCTGGGGGAAGCAGCCAGCCCACGGCAGGGTGGGCTGTAAGATCCCTTCCAATCCAACTGTTCCGTGGTTAAATGATCCTGTCTTATTCTTTGTTGTGTCTTTACCTATTTGTTCTTTTCCTCTCAGTTATTAAAACAAAAAAGCTACAATTAAGCCTGTAAGAGGTGTATTTAGGAGACTCACCCAATCGTCCATTTGTCTCATTGGGAATCTTTCTTGAAGAAAATGAAACATCTGTATATTCCTTAAACCCCAGCTGTTCCACAGACACCAACAAAGTGAATTCATTTCTACCTGCACCCTTTGCTCGCTCTCCTTTCTGGGGCTGCACTGGCACAACCTCCTTCCCTGGTGCAGGACAGGGCCACCTGCTTAGGGCTCCATTGGACTTTCTGCTCACTGGGATTATTTCTCAGGCTGCCAACTCCACAAAGAACAGAAATGCCGATTTAGCTGACAGTCAGCAGCTCTTTGCTGTTCCTATCCTTGCAGGTCTTGCACAGCAGCAGTGTCAGGAATGTTATCCAGGTCTCTGTACCTTAGGTCCTTCTGCAATGGATAGCAGCAACTCTAGGAAAAGACCAGAAACTGATCAACAGAAAGTTTCAAATCATTTCTTTAAAAATAAGATTTAAAAAAAAAAACAAAAACCAGCCACCACCAAACAACCAAAGCAGCGCACAGGACGCACTCCCTGCTTATTTAGAAGATACTTTTTCACATGCACAGCAAAAAAAAAAAAAGCTGTACATACTTTCTATTCCTTTGGACTTGCTTGGCTCTGCATTGCTCATGCAGCCCCAGAGCTGGTGGGGCTCAGGGCCCACTCCTCCTCACCAGCATGCAGCAGAGGAGCTGTGGGCACTGGGGGACTGCATTGGCAAAGCAGCTTTGAGAGGAATGAAAGAAGACTTTGCTACCAACAGGTTAACCTTTCTGTAGTGATAGCATGGCCCAGCCCCAGGATGCACCTTCATCAAGAAATGTCTGAAAGAGCTAATGATTTTCTGCTGCATCAAAGCTCATGCAAGAATCTTAAATTAATCTTACTTAAAGTAATGGATTCAGTGTTTGTGTCGATAATCATTTGCTTTATCTACCACTGCACACAGCCCAGAGAGAAAGCGAAGACTGTCCCTGTGGCACGTTTATAGGCAGAAGGCTTTACATCCTCAGCTCATGAACTTCAGATTTATCTCTAAATCAAACCATCCATGTCTCTTTCTGCTTCCCCAGACCACATCACTGGCCTGAGGAAGGCAAGTTGCTTGCCAAAGACTTCTCCCTTCACAGGAAAAGCAAGTTCTGAAATTCGGAGATTGTTTATAGCTTACAGTAATCATTAGGAGCTTCTGTGTCAGAAACAGTGCAGCCAGGCTTGATCATGCAGCCTCCCTTGTGCAGCAACAGCTGGATTTCCTTAGGTTTGGGCAGCACACAGGGCCTTGGAGCACCACAGCTGTATCTTTGTATTAGCTCTGCCCCAAGGAGCGTGTGTGGTGTGCTGGGATTGCCGTGTGCCAACCCCCACACCATGGTTTTTCTGAAACGAGCACTGATGGTGCAATGAAGCCTTGCTGCACAGCACAACGAGCCCCAGCAAGCAGAGCTACAAGCCGGTGCTGTCACAAGGAGGGTGTGTGAGGGCTGCCTAAGGGAGCTGCCCAAAGGGGAGAGGGATGTGCTGCATGGTGACGAGGGGCACAGGGGGACCTGAGGCAGCCTCAGGTCAGGCCCAGTGACACTGGGGAGGTGGGGAGAGCCTATGAAGTGCTTGTATGTGAGCATGAGCAGTAGAACAGACCTGCTGATGGCCTTTTCTGGGTTCCTCCCCAGGCAATGTTTGAGCTGGTTACTTCCGAAGCCTCGTACTGCAAGAGTCTGAATCTGCTGGTGTCTCATTTCATGGAGAATGAGCGTCTAAAAAAGATCTTACATCAGTCTGAGGCACACATCCTCTTCTCCAACGTCCTGGATGTCAAGGCTGTTAGTGAGCGGTAAGACAACTGCTGCTGGGGTTTTGGCAGTTGAGTGGCATCTCGTTAACTAAGCTTGTGCAGAGGATGCAAGAGCTGACTGCAAGCAGTCTGCTACCCAGTCTTTTCCAAAAGCTTAGTGACACATTCACTGCTTTCAGCCCCAGGGGCAGAAGCTGGGGATTGTGTTGGACATGCAGGCGATAATTAAACTGAGTGCTGGTTTTCTCATCTAGCTTCCTGCTGGACCTGGAGCGACGGGTTGAGGAGAATATTGTGATCTCGGATGTGTGCGATATTGTGTACCAGCATACAGTTGATCACTTCTCTGTGTACATCACCTATGTCTCCAACCAGACCTACCAGGAGAGAACTTACAAGCAGCTTCTGTGAGTTCCCGTGCTTGATGCTGTATTAAAATTGCATAGGCGATAGATTCAGCTGTTGGATGTTGCTAATTGGGATAGTGCTAAATGGTACAGAAACAGGATTTCTCACTTCACTGATGCAATTAAAAGGCTTTAGAGTAAGGGTAAGGGTGGGGTGACAGAGTAGGCAAGTAACATACCAAGTGAGTTCAGAGCCAGCAGTTCCCAGCTGTGGGAAGTAGCTATGATGGATGTGGGAACACGCACTTGTGAAACATACACATTCTTAAACTGCAAGTAGAGGCAAGAGACTGAAAGGCCGAGGTTACAACGCAGCTCCTTGATGACAAGAACAGCCACTGCTTTTCCTAAGCTTCCCAACGAGGCTGAACCTTCCCACACTTGGGAAAACTTATCAGAAGAACAACATTTTCTTGAAGGGAAAAAAAAGAAAAGGCCATTTTCATCACATTCCGGTATTATAAATACAGGCGCTATCTAGGCCTGAGGATAGAATCCAACATATTTTTGCAATGTTTTTCAAGTTCAGTCAGGCTTCTGGTCCGGGAGGAATTCTCTTCTATCGTCTCAAAACAAAGACTGCCCTACAAGCCTGTCTTTGAGCAGGAGAATTAATTTCTCTTCAGTTACAATGTCCTGGATCCTTTCAGGACAGCCCATTGCATGCACTGCACTGTTTCCTCCCCGTAGCAGCAGCTGGTTTGGGGGAGTGTAATGAGCCCTAATCCTTTCCTTTCTCTGCTCTCCAGCTTTTGAGGCAAAAAAACCCAACAAATAAACCCAACACACTCTAAGCAACCTCTGCTGAGCTTGGCCAACTGTTCTTCCCAAAAGAAGGGTACTGCAGGGTTTCCTTGAGTCAGAGGTGAGCAGTATAAACGCCGTGTCTGGGGTCATTAGCTAAACACTTGGAATTGAAAGAGACATAATCTGGATTAGGTGAGCTTGAAAAGGAGCTGTGGGAGATAGGAATTTAGAGGGAAGCTTTTTCTTAATTTTATTTTTTTTTTTGTCTGAGGGAGAACACAAAGTAAAGGGAATTTTGCAGCACTCTGATGAACATGGAGCCTGAGATGTTCCACAGTTGCTCCCACTTTGGCTGTGTCCCAGGACACACTCAGATCCATTCTGTTGTGGCAGTGGCACGGTGACACAGGCACCTGCTGCAGCTCTGAGAGGCACTTACAGCGAGTGCTGTCACAGTGCTCTGAGTTACGTGAAGATAGGTTTTGCACAGTTAGTGATGTCTTTGCATCTGTGCTGATCTTGCCAGCTGTGGCTCCAGCTGTGTGTGTCCTCCCTGGGCCGGGCCCCAGAATTGCCAGGAGGTGGTGGCTTTTGGCTGCAGCTGTTGAGGCTGCTTGGACTCACCTACTGTGCTCCCCTCAGGGAAGGTCCAGGGATGGCGTGTGCTCTTCTCAGGCCAGATAATGATTTCCATCCTCCAGCTCAGCAGCCAGGAGTAGCCAAGTTCTGTGACTTGCCTTATTCTTATGACTGTGTGAATTCCACCTTGTCACAGAGATCCAACTGTGTAGAGATATATAATTATTCCTCTGACTCATCTACTTGGACACACACCCCATTCACACACACCTACGCACGCAGTGCAGCGTATGCTGCTGAGCTAGATGTGCTACACATGTGAACGCACTACCATGGCTTCTACATTAAAAGTCTATTTTTTCCATCCCCCAACGCTATAAATAGTTCTGGATTTAAACCAAAATACACCTGGAAGCATTCCGTTTCCTCCTTCCTTCTTTTCTGCTCTCGGGAGAAGTTAGGCAGATGCTGTCTCTGGGGTACGTGCTGCTGGGTCCTCACCCACACAGCAGAGGTGCAGGCAGGGCAGCACTCACGCTGTCTCTCTCCCCCTCAGCCAGGACAAGCCAGCCTTCCGGGAGGTGATCACACAGCTGGAGCTGGATCCCATGTGCAGAGGCTTATCCTTTTCTTCCTTCCTGATTCTGCCATTTCAAAGGATCACTCGGCTCAAGCTTCTGGTGCAGGTAGAGTTTTGCTCTTCTATATTGCCCAGAGGTCATCCGCATCACTCCTGGGATTCTATTCAACAGTTGCAAATGAGATACAGCCACAATTAATCCTAGAGCTGGCTGAAGCCTTTCCACAGAATTGAATATTCTCAGCTGTGGAAAAGCGTTCAGTCAGTGAGAGAAAACTTCCAAATTCACACTGAACTTGCCATGTTTTGCTGAACAAAAGAGTTGAGGAGAAACTTCAGAAGGGGCAGCAGCCATACTGGAACCAGCTGCCTGATTGTTAAGATGCTGCTGTACAGTCTCAGCATAAAACCACCCCAAAGCCATGTGCTACCCCACATCATGGTGTCTGGGGCCAGCCTGTGGCAGCCACCTTCCCCTTTGCACCTCTAACCACTGCACCGAAGGACATGCATCTAAGGGAGGAGGAAACAGCTCCATCCCAAAAAGTCTTATACCTCTTGGCTTGCCAGTAGCACTGTCTGTTAGCAGCAGGTCCAGCTATTTCACTTTTATAAAACAGTAGCATTACTTTTTAGATATTCAATTGTAGCCAGATGAAACAGGCTTTAACAAAAAACAGAAACTCAGAGGTAAGAGTATCTGTGCTCCATCATCCTCCCTGTAATTAGCCTGATGGACAGAAGTAACCCCAAGGAGAGCAAAGACCCTTCTGTGCTGTCACACTGGGATCAGAGTTAACACAGCTTTTGCTCCTCTGCAGAATATTTTGAAGAAAGTGGAAGAGAAGTCGGAGAGGGAAACCACTGCTCTGGAAGCACATAAGGAGCTGGAAACAGTAAGTTTAAATGAGCCTATCTGAAGGCCATTAAGATTAAATCGCTGTCAGTTTCACCCCAAAAAAGACATACAGACTGCGTTCACTCCTGAAGTTGTCCCTTTGATTCCCACCTTTGGACTTAATGTTTGAGAGGTGGGGAGTTGCAGGCAGCTGTGTGGACGAAGCAGGGTGCTGCAGGGACTGAGGAGTTGAATCCTCTTCTCTTCCTGGCCTTCAAGAGCTTGGAGTTCTCTCTTGAATCCCGCAGTTCACTTTAAGTATTTCAAGCTGGAAATTGCAGTAAAACATCCGCCTGAGGATCCAGCTGCAGCTTATGACTGAGATATTAAAATAAACTAGGCTATTGGACTTGCTCTAACCTATCCCAGGAAATGTTCTCTCTGCAGATCACTGAGGATAAAAACAGAGGCCGCAACAATGATGATTAGTGTGCAGTACTTTTTATTTCCAGAATCCTTCCTTGCTTCTGGCAGCCTGTTGTTGTCTGCTGGTCCAGAGCTCGAGGAGGGCCGTTGCTGTGGGTTGCTGGTGGAAAAATGCTCTTTTTGTATTCATCTGTCAGAGAGCCATCATCACTTTCATAACTGTCTTTACATATTTGTCTGTAGACATTTAAGTTTAGATGCTGACATCACAGCAGTGGCCATTTGATGCCTATTTTTCCCATAATTATCTTCCTGGATGGGCAGAAGCAGATCTTGGTTTCAGTTGCTGATACTCTGGTGAATTTTCAGTAAAAGAAGCAGTGCACGAAGCAGTGCGTGTTCTCCGACATAGTTTTTCTACCTAACATGTTCTCAAGAGAGCAGTTCCTTATGAAACAGGCAGTGACATCTAGGTTACAGTTCCTGTAACAGGGCAGTGCCTGCGTGCTGTATTTGGGGTTTTTTTCCTGTTAGAAGTTTGTACTCAGGACGCAGGTGGGCTGTCACAAACATCTCTCCCTGACACGTCCCATAGATTGGGCAACTGGTGCTGCTTGGCAGAACCACAGCACTTCCATCTTTGAAATGAGGATCTTTGGATTTGTTCTCCTCTTGAAGATCATACTGTGTGTGTTCCTCTGTTTTCAAGCATTGGGAATGGGGAGGAGGAGATGTTTGGTGTGTCAGGATCTGATAAACAAACCGTTCCCTTTCTTGCACAGCCAGGAGTGCTGCTTACTGTTGTCTTGTCTGGTACCTGAATGCGGCCATCTGACAACTCAGCGTTCAGCTGCAGCATCTTCTGGGTGCTGCTTTTTTGGGTTTGGTTGTTTTTTTTCCCTTTCCCATGTGGACACATTGCTGATGAAAGAGCCTGGCTTGGTCAGTTCCTGTTGTAGCTCTTCCCCTCAGGGTCAGGCCTTTCTGTGCTTGACACCACTTAGCTGCTTAGGCCACTGAAAGCAAACCTTTCTCTTCTCTTTTTGCCAGGTGGTGAAAGCATGCAATGAAGGAGTCAGGAAGATGAGCCGAACAGAGCAGATGATCAGCATCCAGAAGAAACTGGAATTTAAGATCAAGGTATGAGCACGGATTGGTAGCACCCCCACAGAGGCAGTGAACCAACAGCATCCTGGCACTGCACATGCATATTTAGTAGTGACAGCTCAGCCACATCCCTTTCGGTGCCATTTAGCTGTGGCAGTGCCCTGCTGTCCACTCTGTCCTGCTGCTACTTTTGAAGGAGATGCACTGCTGCAGGCACTGCATTTGCAGTTGGATGCGTGTGATCTCAGGCACAGAGCCAGAGTGCTGTGCCCACACAGGGGTGATGTGCTGGCATCAGCCTGCCTGTGTGCCATGGGCAGCTCCTGCTCCAGCACTCCGCCTGGCTCTCACCTCACTTCAAAATGTAGGTCAGCTTTCAGCTATTGTTTTACATTATAAATGATTATTACAGGGAGATTAAAGCTAAAAAGCAAAACACTTCAAAGCCGGAAAATACCAAAATGAAAGCTATCTCACAATTTGTAATTCATCCTTGTGTTTATCCATTAAGTACAGGCTCTAATTACCTGCTGATGATCTGTTCTGGGTCCACTTAGATCACAGTCTGCAGGATGGCGCTGGGCTGCAGTACACACGAGGCTGCCTTCATCTCTCCCCAGCTGCAGTGGTGATGCCACAGCTCGGCTGTAGGGCAGGCTGTCCAGGGCACTGACATGGGGTATAAGCAGTGCAAGGGCACAGGAAGAAAGGCTGCACTGCAGCATGTGTGGTGAGCACAGAGAAGGAGTGAAGGTGGAAGGGATATTTCCAGTATTTCAGTTGTTTAACCAAAACCATACTGTTCTTCTAATATAAGACATGCTTTGTTCTGGGGTTCTTGAGATAACCACACAGTGGTTTGGGTTAGAAGGGACCTTACAGCCCACCCAGCCCCAACCCTGGCCATGGGCTGGCTGCCCCCCACCAGCTCAGGCTGCTCAGGGCTCCATCCAGCCTGGCTCTGAGCAGCTCCAGGGATGGGGCAGCCACACTTCTCTGGGCAGCAGAGCCAGGGCCTCACTGCCCTGGTGTGTGGTAAAGCTCTAACAGAAGTGCCGTTGTTGCTGCTTGAGCAACCTAACCAGTGAGAACTCATTTAGCACGTTTTCTTTTAGCCAAAAAGCCAACTGTTTTTAAAGACAGCCTCTCTGTCCAGGAAGGTTCAGCCCAGGTGATGAGACATCAGATGCACCAGAGACAGGATCGGGTTTGCAGGGCGTAGCCTGGTGTTTGAATCCAGCACTTGGCACTCCAGCACCACTGTCCTCAACTGTTTGCTTGTTGGGCCCCTGCTGTGTCTCCACCATAGCAGTTACACCCTGTGCTGGGCCATGGGCTGGGTGGCAGAGCACGCTGCACCCTGTGTAGCTCTCCATCCTCTGCAATGCGAGTCATTCTGGTGGGAGCTCACTTCCTTCTGCATCTCCCACTGCTTTCAGCACCTTAACCACTTGAGTCCAAGTTGCTCTTCTGATCTCGGCTGTCTTTGTCTCGCTCCCAGTCTGTGCCCATCATCTCTCACTCCCGCTGGCTGCTGAAGCAGGGGGAACTGCAGCAAATGAACGGCCCAAAGACATCGCGGACGCTGCGCACCAAGAAACTCTTCAGAGAAATCTACCTGTTCCTTTTCAACGATCTGCTGGTCATCTGCCGGCAAATTCCGGGGTGAGTGCAGAATTCAGGTAGCACATGGGCACTCCGAGTCCTTTGTAAGCGCCGGCGGTGAGCCCTGCCTGCTCGGGGGCAGCACTGCTCTCTCCAGATGAAGCCTCACGGCAAGCAGGGCTCACACATGTCTCCCAGCAGGGTAAGCAAATGTGTATTGGCCAGTTCCTGTGGGGTGGCAGTGAGTTCCAGTGGCTGGTGGGGCTGATCCAGGAGCCTGTCTTTCTGCCAGGGAGTGAGCTTTGACTCGTCACCGCCGAAGGAACAGCTCACATTTAGTCACTTAAATTTCTAAGAAAAGAGTCCAGAAAATATGAGCAGCAGGGAGGGGCGTCAATTGATGCCTGCAGCTAGCAGTTATGTTTGACATGATGTAACCTGCCTCAGGAATGTTGTGGTGCTTAAGACTGCGTTTTGTGCAGCTAGAGACTGGTGAAATACAGCGGCACAAACAGGGCCCAGAGAACAGCACGTTCTTTGTGGCATTAACTGCACTCACCAGTAGGGAGCATCTCGGCAGTCCTGTTTCTTATCAACGTGTCGCTGCAGTGTCTGCATGCCTGGAAACGTTTTGCTTCTGTGGCAGCTTGTATCCAAAAAACATGGAGGTGCTTGACAAATAGGAATGAATTGAGCCTCACAGACCTCTTTGAAGGAGCACAGTGCATGGGTCACACAGACAGAGCAAATGACTTGTTTTAGGCCACGTGGGACAACGGAAGCTGAGCAAGGAGAGGATCTCTTGCCTTGTGGTGGGGTTTCATAGCCATTGCTCATCCCTTTTCCTCCCGCCATACGGAGGTGCTCGGTCTGTCCCCAGGTACACATCTGAGTGGATGAAGCCACACTGTCTTGCCGTGCTTGCAGTTTTTCCTTATCTCCTCTTTAACCTCTCCCAGAGACAAGTACCAAGTGTTTGACTCAGCGCCCCGGGGGCTTCTTCGGGTGGAGGAGTTAGAAGACCAGGGGCAGAGTTTGGCCAATGTCTTCATCTTGAGGCTGCTGGAGAATGCTGATGACCGGGAGGCCAGTTACATGCTGAAGGCATCGTCGCAGTGAGTACCGTGCCAGCACTGCACAGGGCTCAGCGCCACGCGCTCCCTGCACCTCCACAAGGGCAGTGGCCTGTCTGCATGGGGAGCAGCTCCTACAGCTCACCAGGACCAGGCAGGCAGGGATGCCACTGCTGCAGCTGGCCTTAGACCTTCATAGCTGGCCCTGCACATCACGCCTGTGAGGCTGCCTTCAGTCTCTCTTACTCGAAGGAGTGAGTGAAGCTGGCTCGCTCACAAAGCTGGGAGCCGTGCCTGACCAGCTGTGAAGCAGAGTGGCTGCCGGTTGTAGGTGAGGGTGTGAGAAGAGGGCTCTTCCTCAGCCCCATCCACAGCCGATCCCAGTCTTGCAGCAGCACCTCTGCTTTTCCAGGCCTCCTCGTCTCCCCATGTACAGTATTCTCAGCTTGCAAACTTTTTGCTTCAGGCTCCAGCAATACTGGGCAAATGATTCAGCTGTACTAACACAGGCATGATTGTTTTGGAATTCAGGGCCTGACTTTCTCATTGACCCGAGTCTTAGCAGGCTCACAGTTTTCTAGGCACAGCTCTATGCAATTAGAGGTGTTATATAAGTATACATGCACCACCAGTTTCACAGCTACTGGAGGTCACACACCTTCAGATTGATGTTACTTTGCTGTTTGACAGCTCTTGACATCTTGGGCAGAGAGCAGCCCCACCTGAGACCACACAATCCTGCAGGCCTGGGGGTGCAGCCGATCCCCTCAGCACAATGCAACACCAGGATGAGGGAGATGAGCCCCCAGCATAGTGAGCAGCTGCACCTTCCTCCCAGGCATGTGACTGCAGCTTTGCTGTACTGAAAATAGAGATGTCAGTCACATTATGCAGGGCACACGCACATTTGACGTCTGTGAGACTGAGCTGTGCAGAGGATGATAAATCAGGCCAGGGTTGCCTTTGCTCAGGGAGGTGTTTGCATTTATGTGCTTCTGCAACCTGCTCCGTCTCTAGGATGACCACAGGGAGTGTGAAAACCAGCACACAGCTTGCCTACAGCTCTAGTGTACAGAGAAGCAATGCAGGACTGCTACAAGCTGCTGTTCCAGAGCTGCAGGAGAGATCTGGCCAGTATGAGGCACAAACCAGAAAACTGAACAAACAGAAGAGGGAAGTGGGTTCCAAAGAGACACTGGTGGATCTGTTTTGCAGATCTCGCAGTGTTTCCCGGCTCTGAACCCACACAGCAATGACAGCCTGTTCAGTGGCAGCTTGCTGCTAGAGCCCTGGCTGGGCTTTGCTGTCACCAGGAGCTGTCCTCATGTCTGGGCACAGCTAGTTGCAGGGGTAGGATGAGAGCACAGGTGGGCCCCTCACAGGGCTACGAGAAGCCAGGTCCTGCAAGGAGAATCCAAAGAGCCCTGCAAGGAGCTGCGTGCAAGGCTGCAGGGTCAGCCTGCAGCATCAGGAGCTCAGGAATGAGGGGAGAGGTGGTGTCTCCAGGACTTTCTCCTGCTCATGGCCTCCAATTCTCCCCCTTGTCCAGGAGCGAGATGAAGCGTTGGATGATTTCACTGGCCCCAAACCGGCGAACCAAGTTTGTTTCATTTACATCTAGACTTTCTGGTAAGATTCACTGCGTGGTGTCCAGGAGCTTTTCACCCCCACCCAGGGTCCCTTCTGTGCTGATCTCCCCATCCAGCCCTAGGCTGGAGCCCTCTGGAAGCCAGCCTCTGTCTGGGCTTCCCTTACATTTTCACCCACTTGTCTCCAGGCCTGGCTCTGACTTTGTTCCCCTGCAGCCCAGGGTGGGCTGCACCAGCACTCTCCACCCTTCTGTGCTGCTCAGTGGAGCAGCAGTGCAGGGACTTGTGCAGGACCAGCTCCCTTCCCTGCAGCACTCCTCCCCATTGCGCCTCCCCTCACCCCATGGCCTCAGTGGTGTTTCTCACCGAATCAGAGGAAACATTCTCAGAGCTCACAGAGTTACACCTACCTGAGCTGCTTCTGCCTCAGTCCATCCCTCACTCTCACCCTGTCCCCCTGCAGATTGCCCGCAGATCCAGTGTGTCCACCCCTACGTGGCCCAGCAGCCGGATGAGCTGTCCTTGGAGCTGGCTGACGTCCTCAACATCCTGGACAAGACAGATGATGGTACGGGGGGCGGGACAGGAGCCGTGGAAGGGTGGGCTTCTCCCTGGGCAGGCAGCTGCTGAGCAGCGAGGAGGGGTCCTTTGGCCACAGAGAGAGAAGGCAGTGTCAGCATTGCAGCTGAGAAAGCTGGCAGCAGAGCAGGGTGTGACTGCCTCCTCCTAATGCTCTGCAAATCCAGGCTGCCCTGCGTGCAGGGCAGGGCTGATGCAGCCACCAGTGTGTAACCCAAAGCTGTTCTTACCCTGAGCAGCCAACAGCAGCTTCCAGAAGGCACGACCAGCTCTGCAGGCTCTTTCACAGCAGCTGTCCCAGGGTGGGAGCAACGGTCTGTCCTTCCCCACTGACCCCTGTCTCTGTCTCTGCTTAGGCTGGATATTTGGGGAGCGGCTTCACGACCAGGAGAGGGGCTGGTTCCCCAGTTCTATCGGGGAGGAGATCCTGAACCCCAAAATCCGAGCCCAGAACTTGAAGGAATGTTTCCGGGTGCACAAGTCAGATGACAGCCAGCGGAGGAAACTGGGCAGCAGGAGCCGCCAATGACTGCTGGCATCCCCGAGCGTGGGGAGCAGCCTGGGAGAGGAGCAGAGGACAGAGGCTGCCAGCTGGGGGGACACGGTGGCGGTGCTGGGGGCCGTGGCACGGGACCTGGTGTGCCACACCAAGCATGTCCACCCTTGAACGCATGGACCTCAGTTCCCAGGCGGCCTGCTGTGCTTTCTACAGTGCTGAGCCCTCCTTGGAAAGCAGTGCTTCGAGCTGGCTGAAATCACCCCTTTCCAAAGAACGTGAGCCCAAACTGGCACCACACGAAGGCCCTGGGTGCCAACCAAGGGAACCTGGGGCAGCAAATGGAACCCAGCAATTAGCATCGTCCACTCACACCTCATTGCTACCATTTGAGTTCGGGGCTCTCTTAAAGCCGCACCTCATAGGGATGGGAATTCCGGTGGAGGAATCGTCTCACATCCCTTCACACAGCCCACTGGCACCAGGCCCAGGAGAAGCCCCCAGGACTCCATTTCCCCAATGAAGTTGATGAATGCATCTCCTGGGTAGACCCTCGACCTGCTCCCCAACGCTCTGATGTGCTCTGAACACAGCCCTGCTCCACCAGCAGCCCCACCTCAGAGGCCCCAACCTCCGTTCCTGCTCACCTGAAGGCCTCAAAGTGCATCTGGGTCCTGCCCCATGGCTCATCCCCTCCCTCAGCTGCTGCAGAGGCATGGCACCATGGCTTTCCCAGGCTGATCCGGTGCTTTTGGGAAGACAGGCTGCGCATGGTCTCTGCTGCGCCCACTGCAGCGTGCTGCAGGGCTCCAGGAGTGCCAGCAGGCAAGCAGCGTGCAGTGAATGACGGCACCTCGGGAGCTGCTGTGCTGCACGGTAGAAGGCTCAGCAACACGCCTGCATGCTTGTAACCCACACCTCCAGCTGCGTGCAGCCTCCCTGTACAGTTCATGTAAATACGCAGTCCTCTGTCGCAAGCAGAGCCAGACCATCACTTGCTCCAGTTGTGGCACTGAGCATCGCATGAAGCCCAGGGCACAGCGCCCCAAACAGCCCCACATGTGACCACAGCAGAGAGCACTGGGCGTACAGCATGGGCTGTGCTGCTCCTGAGCTGCAGCCACCACCCGTTATGGAATCAGGATTATTGGGCATTTCTGTAACGCAGCAAGGAGTCTTCCAGGCACTGCCGTGTGCTGCAGTGGTGTGCAGGCTGTATTCCAGAAGGGGACACATCAGTGTGGGGTCCTGGTTATGCGAGAGTTGTGCAGTGAGCCCAGGATGCAGCTGGGGGAAGCTGCAGCAACAAAAGGAGCACAGAAGGGGGTCCGCCCTTGGGCCAGCTCCATGCCACCACGCACACAGGGCCCCAGGGAGGGCTGGGACAGGTTTGCAGCCTCCAGCTTGATGCAGTGGGCTCACCTGATGGGGATGCCCCAAGTCAGGCCCCCAGAAGAGCACACCACAGGCACTGTCTGAGCACAATCAGACCTCTGGGTCCGGGTTCAGACCTGGCAGCAGCTGCAAAATCTCCCACGCAAACCCCAGAGGAGCTCCAGCCTCAGGCAGCCCTCTGAGTTACCCACTGAACTGAGTACATCACAGCCCATCCAGTTTAGCAGAGCCACAGCCAGCACAGCCCTGTACTGAAGCCCCACAGGGGCTGTTTAGCAGTACAGAAGTGCTCCCTCACCCACCAGAAGCAGCTGTTCACCAGTGGAGGGGCCCAGATTCCCCACTATCAGGATACCAGCACCTGGCTGAGTTGCCTGTGGGAAGGAGAGGGGCCCATGGCTGCCCACGCGCTGTCCCCTCACACCCTGGACTCGCTCCAGCTCTGTTGTGACTTCTGATGACTTCAAACCTTAAGCACAGGCTGTGCCATTTCCAGGCACCAAGTGGCATCCAGTGTTATTTCCTCAGACCCGGCCATGCACGCCTTTTCATGGGTGTGCAGCTGCAGCTCCCACAGCCTCTGCCAGGCTGCTGCAGGGCACTGAGGGGAACTTCTCGTCGTCTCGTTTTCTGTGTGATGAAATACAGCTGAGTGAGCCAGCGCCACAGCAGCGTGCCGGCATCTCCTTCCTCCCTGTCAGCGCCGCAGGTCCCCACCACAGTGTGACCACTGAGGGGAATGGAAGCACAGGCAAGGGGTGGAAGAAGGGAGGGATGAGAACATGGGCCGGGTGATGCATGGGGAGAGTCGGGATGATTTACAACACCTGAGCAACCCTTTCCCACCAAGGGATGCTGTGCAAAGCGATCCCCAGCACCATTACCTCTGTAGCCCACCCAGCTGTGGGCTGATACCGCTGCCGTGGAGCTGCCAGGGGCTCAGTGCTCCCAGCAGAGCTGCACACGAGGAGCAACGTCAGTGCAGCAGATGGGGAGCAGACAGAGGAGTGTTGTGGTACAGAAATCTTTTATTGAGTTCAGGAGGCAGAGAACTTTCTCAGCGTGATGACAACCAAGGCCACGAGCACAGATGTACCCAGGAGGGAGGCGATGACAATGGCACCGATAGCTCCGGGCCCCAGCGAGCCTGCAGGGACAGAAATCACAGTGGGGTGAGGCTAGGGGGTCCTGAGGGGAAGGGCAGTGGAGTTCACCCCTTTTGCCCTGTGCACCGTGGCCCCCAGGACACCCTCCTGTCATCTTCCCCCCCAAAGTGTCCCAGTACTTGTGTCCCCTTACAGCTGCAGTGTGGCCTCATCTTGGGCTCCTGCCTGGCCCCCAGTCCCAAGCCAGCTGCCAGGGAAACGGAAGCCAGCACAAATGGGATGCTCAGCACTCTGCTTTCCTGTTACATCCACTCCCAGAGCATGCTTGTTGCACAACAGCAGGCTGCTGTAGTTGAGGTGCCAGTGGAGTTGCTCACACCCTGTTTTCAAGGGCAGAGTTTCAGGCACACTCCTGCCTGGGCTCAGGTGTTTGCAGTAGTGCCAAGCGCAGACACGGGGCAGGAGGTCATGGCAGTTGCTCTGGGGCTGGTGGGCATTGCACAGTAAGACCTGTCCGCAGGGAGACGGCCCTGAGCAGGCAGTGCCTCCCAACAGCAGTATGGAGGAGGGTGCAGGCCACTTCCAGCCCCCTGCCAGGAGATGACAGCCCAGAAAGAACAAACGCACAGCGAGCATTTCCCGAACGGCAGCCCCGTACCGTCCCCAGCATCGAGCCGGTGCAGGTGGGTGGTATCCTCGGGCTCCAGCTCGGAGGTGTACGGGGCAAAGGCGGTGGCATCGGAGAGCCGTGCGGTGGTGGTGGCATCGAAGGGGCCGGATCCGGAGGGCAGCTCGGCCGGCTCGTTCCACAGCGTGGGCAGCGGGCCCCGTGGGTGCTCTGCTGGGAGAGGAACCGCCGCGGTCACGGCTGTGTGCGGGTGGCTCGGGTCGGGCGTGCAGAGGATGCGCAGCACACAGACCCCGCTGAGAGCCCCAGCTCCCCCTGCACCCCCACACCGCGCCGGGAGATGAAAGCGGCACCGCGCTCTGATGTTGCCCTTCGCATCCTGTTATTCCTTCCCCCCCTGGGGTTGGGGAACGCGCCACAGCCCTCTCTGTTTGCGTGTGGCTGAGCGCAGCGCCGCCATCAATGCCCGGCTTGTTGAGGTGGGCCCTGGCGGCGGCAGGAGACATTCCACCGCTCCCTGTGAAACCGCTGGGAATGTCACACCGCGACGGGGAGAGACGGGAAAGAACGAGCAGCGTCCAACGCCGGGACAACTGAACCGAGACGGCGGTTCTCCGCGCCGGGAAGGGAAGGGCAGAAGAGTCAGAGCCGACAGCATGGGATGAGGCACAGAGCTGCCGTGTGCCGGAGGGACGGGGTCAGCCGGCAGCAGCACAGCGAGCCCTGCGAGGCTGCCCAGAGCCCCTGTGGGGCTGCCTCTGCAGGAGGGGCGAGCCCCGGAGGATCAGCTCCAGGCACCGCACTGCGCTCGGCAGCAGCACCTCACGTCCCAGCAAGCACCAAGGAGCAGCTCTGGCCTTCCTCAGAGCCGCCTGCAGAACCAGAGCGCTGCTCTGGGGTAGATCAGGAAAGACCTTTCTGTGCCCAAGGACACGACAAGACTTTCACTGAGCTCCCAGCTTAGCTCTGGCCCCAGCAGCAGCCCAGCAGCCCCAGGCTGAGCTCTGCAATTCCCACAGTGACCCAGCCGGGGCAGCACCGTGGAGCAGCAGCAACGCTGCATCCTCACACACTCAGCCCATCTATGATCCCCACGTCAGAGGCAGCATCCTGGGTTCCCTACAAGAGTTCTGTACCCCACAGTGGCTCCCCAGAAACACCCATACCCTCAGCAGGGCCTCTCCCAACCCATCCTGCAGGGCTGGAGATGTGCATCCCTTCCACAGAGTACCACGTCCCAGAGATCTCTTCTGGAGCCCCTGTAGGCACACGTTGCTTCTGGAGAAATCACAGCAGCTCTCAGAGCAGGGCACAGGACTTTCTGACAGCCAAGGAAGGAGGAAGCAATCTAATTATTATTATTATTTTTAAATGATCTTGGTGAGTTTTAAGACCTGGACAGAGGTCTTGAAACTTGAAAGCCAAGTATAAATGGCAAAGTAGCATCTGCTGCTTCTGTTCACAGAATAAAGCTGTAGAAATAAAGAGCTACTGAGAAACACACTCAAACACATTGTCCATCACAAGGGCAGGTGTGCAACACCTGAGTTACGTACCAGCCTCAGGGTCAGAGCCAGCTGTAAGGAAACCCACCCTCAGCACCTGTAGGGCTGCTTTGCCCCAGGGCAGCTCAGCAGGAGGGCACACAGAGGGTATGAGTGGGTGCCCCTGCGCTGCCTGCTGCCCTGCGGGATCTCACCCAGCAGTAACAGTAACTGTCCTCAACACCACAGTACTGACACTCCACAGAACACCCAAACACACTTGGAAGCACTTCAGGGAAATTCAAACAATTGGAATTATTGGGGTTTTACGGCACGGAGGTGGAATGCAGAGGAAAAACAGACTAGGAGTAACCCAGTGTTGGCCAGCAGGCCAATTGGATGGCACCTCTTCTTTCTCCCCTACTGCACTGCGTACCCATCCTCTCTGCAATAGTTGTTATGGCTGAGGCCAGAAAAACAGTGGTTACTACACTACAAAGAAATAACAGAACAGGTTTGCTGATCAATAGAGACCCACTGAGATAACAGCTACATGGACTGCGGGGGGATCCAGAGGCACCAAAGGCGACACAAAGCAGCTGTGTCCCACCCTTGGTGAGCCTGCACAGCAATGAGGTTCCTGCACCCCAGGTACTGGATAGCTGAAAGGTAAGGCTGGGAAAACCTTCACAAGGAGGAACAAATTTGAAGGGCCCTCAGGGTTGGACCCCGCGGCAGATGGAGCCGTCCAACACCAGTGAGCACCACTTCCCACACAGGCTGACTTCAGGACCACGTTACCCCCAAGGTCTGTCAGCAGATGACAGTAAGATGTTCCCCCTCCACAGGGTGATGCCTGCAGGGACAGAAAAGCACGTGCTCCCAGAGGACAGGTGCTCGTGTGTCTGACAAGAGGCAGTGCACCTGCTGTACCGTGAGTGTCGCACAGCCATCCATCACTCACAGCCACTCACAGGTTGACTTGATGCCAGATTCCACAGCTCACATCCTTTCAGAACCCCAGGGCTTTTCTTCTCTGCTGCAGATGTTTGCACCTTTTTACACTGGTTACAAGGAGGTGACCTGCTGCCTTCTGGTGTAACTCTCCACCTCCAGCCCAGTAACTTCATCCAGGAGATGACAAGTGTCAGTAATTTGCAAGGAGCGTCAGTGCTGAGCCAGTTGTCTACAAAGAGCTGCATCCAGCCTGGACAGACCTGCTGGAATGACTGCAGCTTTAAGAAGTTTACAAACTATTTACTTCTCACATCCTAGTGCTCAAACTTCAAGAGCTTCCTAATAACCCTCTCACTGTATTACCCCTGAGAACAAAATCAGAGAAGAGTCCTCGTATGAGGCCTTCTCCCATTCTTTTCCCCTTTAGCATAACAAAGATCATCTCCTGCTCTGCCTCTTTCCTCCCCAGACCACCCCACTACAGTGTAATGTATTTCATGCAAGCTCAAAACAAAAATCCAGGAGCCCACATCAGCATTCAGACACAAAACACACGACTCAAAGCAAGGCCTTGCAGAGCCCTCCTGCTGCCCTGCCCTTTCACACAGGGCTCTGAACCTGCAGAATCATGAAGGTTGGAAGGACCACTCAGCTCACTCAGTCCAACCGCTGACCCACATCCCTCAGTGCACATCCACCCTTTCCTTGAACCCATCCAGGAATGGTGGCTGCCCCGCTCCTAGGGCAGCTGTGCCGGTGCCTCACTGCTCTTTCAGAGAGGAAATTTGTCCTAATACCCAACCTGACCTTGCCCTGGCACAGCTGAATGCCATCCTCTTCTCATCCTACCACTGTTACCCACGAGCAGAGGCCAACCCCCACCCCATCCTTCAGGCAGTTGTAAAGAAATCAGCTTTAGTAAGAGCAGACAGTCACTCTTCGCAGTCTCGCTGTGCTGTAGGATTAAGTGCCACCTATGTTTGAAGGAAGAGGAACTGGAAAGCATGTGGAGGTGCAGAAGTCCCCCCATTTGATCTCTTCCAGTTGCAGTAGATGATGCACACTGTGGCCTCTGCTGCTTTCCCTCATTGGACAGATGCAGCCCTGGGAAGAGCTCAGCAGCTCAGAGGCATGCCAACTTTCTGGAGTTGCAGAGCCCTGATGGCAGCATTCAGGGAAGCACACAGCCCAGCAGCGCCCGCACAAAGCTCTGCTGCCCAGATATGGAAACCGCGTCCATGAGGACAGGAAGGCCGTGCTGAGCAGGGCTGTGCCGACACGGAGGGCAGGGGCTGGCCGGCCCCAGGTAGCCGCAGCAGGCATGGAGCCAGAGCAGGGCTGAAAGGAGGCCTTGATGGAGCACAAAGGACAGCCTGTGGTGTGCAGCACTGCAAGTGCGAGCTGCGGTTCTGATGAATGTGAAAGGAACTTGTTTACAGAAAGGCTGGGCTGCGTGTGTGTGTGTGTGTGTGTGTGTGTGTGTGTGTGTGTGT